ACTGTAACGTTGATCAGTAAGTCGTCACATCTCGCACCGATATCCCATTGGAGACGAGGCAGCCACTTTTGGTGGGCCATAATGAAGAGGCCGCAGAATCGCGATTGTTTTTGCCCAACCCTGAATTTGACAGGGGCTTGATAAGCCTCAGAGAATAAGAACGTTGCGAGCCGTACCGTACATCTTGCTCTGACGCGGAGCTTAAATCGGATGATGTCTATCCTTCCGATAATTTCCTAGGCCCTGCGAATGTTAAAGTTACTACAGCAAAAAGCGCCGTCTTTACAGCTGCAGAGTCACGAAAGTAACGAGAAGTGTCCGTTAGTTCTCAGAGCTGCCTACGAGGTGAGGAGAAAGCGAACACCGGTGCGGTACGTCAGCAGGCGCGAGCCCAAACCATCGGGTTGGCTGTCTCGACTCGGCGGGACACTCGAAGTCGGCTGAGCCGGCGTGCGTGTGATACCAGCAGGGCAGTCTAGCTGACCCAGTGTCGACTCGGCGACGGGATTGGTGGAGCGATAATCGAGAGAGATCAAACTGGATCGCGACCGTACACGTGGCCTCCTCGGTTCCCCGTCAGCAGCCACGCTGGCCAGGCAAGCTTCCCAGTTTGCGCAACGCGGAGAGTCGAGTGGTGCTCTAGCTCAGTCCCTACACCGCTTCGTCTCGTCAACCCGCACTCGTACTCGACCACCATGGTCCTGTTTGCCATTCTCATTTTCGTGCCCGTTGCTACGATCGGTGAGTGAGCACCGGGTTAACGACCTGGGAGGAATTTTTTTGCTCTTCGTAACATTAAGGCATTTGTAACTTTGGCGCTGCACAGCGGGTCGATCGTCTTGGCATATGGGGACAGGCCGTTGGGTACATCGGTGCACCGTGAAAAGCGGAGGAAGTAAATTTGGGGGGCACTCTAGTAACCCATTTCACAAGAGTAATCGGTGTTTTTTTTTTGTTTTTGCTCCTTGATAATCGGATGCAGAAATCAATGTGTTCTAATTCAGCATACTGGTGCAACTATGCTATCAACATGTGAACATTTAATAAATCCGAAAAGCGGTCAAGCTTGGAGAATATTACTAGCTATTGTTTACTGAAGTCTCGTGAGAACTTACAGGCGGCATTAGAGACAACATAGATATTAGTAGCAAAATGTACTCCTAAATATATCCTACCAAGGCAGTCAAAAATGGAAAAAAAATTAGAACAGCAACTGAGGATTTAATAGCCATGGTTAATTGTTTCCCAAGTGTGGGGGTCATGCACGTCATAATAAAATATTTGTGAGGGAATTTTTTTTTTTTTTTTATATATATATACTTTTACTTTTGAGCAGTGGTCAAGTTGAGTTTACTATCAGGGGACAGTAATTTGTGGTCCATTTAAATATACTGTGATCATCAAGGATTTTTTTTTTTTTTTTTCCATTTCTAGCAATTTTGTATTTTTTTGTGTGTGCAAGACTCGTGTTTGATAGTGGGTACTTATTGGCATAGCCACTTTCCTGGGGCAGAGTAGTGTTCAAAGTGAAAGAAAAAGAACAAATAAAAGCATTGCTTTTTAAAATGCTTACCAATAAAACCGTGTACAAAGTTTGGCTGGCAAGGATGCCATTAACATTTTGAAGAAACATTACCTTGCACACATGTTCTCTCCGACAAATTTAGCACAGAATGCTTACCGACTACAACTTCTACAGAGCTTCCATTATGTTAGCGTGTTAATTACTGTAAACTATACATTTTTCGCAGGCTCAATGTTTCGTGATTTAGGTCAAAGCTGAAGTTTTGGAATAATTTGCGGGTTCTCATTTTTGTGACGCAGTGCGATCTCAATATAGATTACAATGTCTGTACATTCTGCCGGAATTCTTTGCAGGACCTATTTTTTGCAAATTGTAGGCGATTCGCAAAATTTAGGTCCTCACAAAAATTAAGTCATTTACAGTTTGCAGGCCATGGAGTTTAGTAGTCACAAAGCAAAGGTAGCAACTTGCAAACTTTAAGCCCATTATTTAGCAAAAGTGTCGATCTTACAATGAATAAAAGAAAACGAAAAGCGGAGCTTTTCAGTTTCCACCAGTTTGGTTCCAGCTCGTTTAAGCTGCTATTTGTACTTGGAAGGAAAAAAAAAAAATCCACCTGAGGTGCATTGAACTGAGATAAAAGTAGTACGTCCATGCTTGCTTCAAGCGGATCAGGAGTTCCCATATATGCTCGATGCAGGCATTTCCTAGTAAGCACCATCCATGCAATTGTTCATGCTATCTTAAAGAGGATGTGGTGTGGCAATTGTGGTACGAGTGTTTTGCATCTTTATTTTCACAGGAAAGACACAAGTACTGAAAGAATGCTCACGTGTACAACACTAAGTGGCTAAGACACTTGCAGAAAACTACACCGAGCACGACTTTCAAGGGGCCAAGCACGCTAAACAAGGATGGCAGGGCTGGAGTAGCTCGAAATGTAATTATGCAGATCACTGTACTTAGGTGGGGGATAACATTGTAAAGTCTTTCATCTGTTAAGGTTTACCAAATGGGATCACAAGTGGCATCTTCAGAAAAAAATCCGCTGCTAATAACCCTGTGCCCATTATCAGTTTCTTCCTGGCTTAGTCAGCACCAAAGCTAAACTAAATTATGGCTGTTTCACTTTTTTTATTTTTTTTATTTGGCAAATACGAGTCATACAAGAATCATAAGTACAGGCACACAGCTTATATTTTGCTATCATTTGGGTAACTGAAGAAAAGTTTTGAGAAATATGAGCACACTCCAATTTTCTCACTGCTATTCTTACAGGGCACTTAAACAGTGTGTGCTTCATGCCTTTGCAGATGCCCCAGTAACATGCTAAAATTCTGCTTGTAAAGGTTGAGAAAATGGTTCCCAACTTTATGAAATGGTCAGCATTTGCATTTCCACTTGATAATTTTATTATTAGTAGTTCACCTGCCATTTTTGCTAGGCTACCATTGAGATCACTCCCACTGCATCTGTACATGCAGACCAGAGCAAACTCATGCATTGTGACCTGCCTTTTTTTTTTAAACTAAAGTAACGGTTGCCTCACACATGCACAGTACAGTTCGTGGAATCGGGCATTATATGTTGTACTAATAGCCAACCTTCTTATGGATAGTTGTAACAACCGTAAACATTAATAGGACTAAAGAAAACACTTGAGACAGGTATCCTGGCAAACTTTAGATTATGAATAAAAATGGGAAAAGGTACCTTTTTCTGCTTGTCACCCTCCACTCGTTTTGTGCACTTTCTTGGTCTTGGGTTTCACGACTATGGATGTGGAGTTGACATTCCTAAATGTGCTGGTGTACACTAGAGCGACTGTATATGGCAGCTTTTAGCTGCCTATACGGGGCTGGTGGCTTGCTTAGTTCCGATGGCAGCCAGTTACACTAAGAATTGCCAGACACGCTTGGACAGGCTTCAGGCATGGCGGGTTTCTCTTGTCTTTTAGTTGTACTGTGACGCAGATTAAATGAACTGCTTTCCACCAGTTCAATAATCAATACTTGTTTAGAGACCATCACACCATGTCCTGAAACTTTAGTCAACCTTAAGGTTTTTGCTGTGGGCTGCAAACAATGACAATTTTCATGACCACTCGGACATAGGTAGTGGTGCTATGCTATGTCCCCTCCTCTCCTTTCCGCTAAATCTAGTGGTGACGCTAGATTTAGCAGAAAGGGGAAGCTCGGAACAACCTTGGCTATTTCATTGCCCAATTCCTTGGTTCAGCCATCTGTCCATTCATTCATCCATCCGATGGATTCGGTGTGTATATCCCAATACATCCATACATGCTAGCCATCGTACCATTGGATCATATATCGTATGTGCCAACGTTACAAACATGCTACAGTGTATGGGTCGTGCACTTTCATTATTAATTAGAATTTGTTCCGAAAATAAAAAATCTTTGTGTGCAATTCTAGATATTTCACAGTACAGCTATATCTAGTACTTTATAACACATGTAGTACAAACCTAGTTTTCTTGAATTGTAACTCGTCGTACAACTGGCTAAGGTGCTTTCTTAAAATGATGTGGTTACCCGTGAGGTGCTTCGATATATATATATATACTGAAAAACGACTAAAATTTCGCGAAGAGCTAATTTTCGCGAATCACCTACAATTCGCGAAAAATCCAGCCAATATGTGAACGCTACGGAAGCTACACTCGATTCGCGAAAATCAGAATCCGCGAATAATTTCAAATTTTCAGCTTTGGCCCGATTCGCGAAAATTTGAGCCCGCGAAAATGACGTCGTTTACAGTATATTTTTTTATCCTCAGTGCTCCAAAACACAGTCTTTCTGCCCCTATGTTCTCCCAAACTGGAAAATTTTCTACTCCCAAGTTTTACCAAAATGCAAATTTTTCTACTCTAAAAATTGCTCCAAGACTAGTTTGTTTTATCCCACCCCTGTATTGTCCAAATACTGAGCTTGGTCATCATTGTGCACTGGCCAGGCCTCAAAGACCGTGGACTTGTAGACCTTCTTATTCCTCGTAGTAAAACCGATAAAATGCAGCGATGATGCTTGGCTTGCAGGTTTCTTCACTTACAAGCTAGTCCAGAGCTTGCGGGACAAAGAGAAGCGCAAGGAGGAGAAGAAGAAGCAGAAGCAGCAGAAGAAGAAGTCCAAGTGACCGCAGCAGCAGTCATGCTACCTGCCCCAAGCAAGCCACCACTGCCAGCCCTCCTCTGGCAGCCCGGCATATCAATCACCGGAGGAACCCCCCACAACTTATGACCGCTTCACCATGACCCTCGATGTTGTTGGAGGCGCCACATGCAGGCAGTTTGTTCCAGGGGCTATTATCTTCTGCCACAGTGGGGTGGGCATTTGCGTTACATTCCGCTGGGTGAGGGCCACTTTACCAAATGTCTCTGCAAAGAAGGTTCCCCCTTGGTTTTTGACGAGATGTCTCTTAACAGTTTAAACATCTATTTACAAAATAGAGGCGAGGAGAGGAATGAAATATTTATTGTATTTACAAGTTAAAATAAAAAAGCAACTCGTGCGCTCATATCACAGCAGCATTGAAGCTCGACGTTATTCCTCCGGTTTGTACAGCAAAGTGGAAGCGCCGAGAACTTACGTGGCTCACATTGTTGCTCTCTTGTCTGACATTCAGCTACCACGCTTGTTCTTTGGCAAACTGTGGCTATGCAATCGTGCATCATCAAAAGGAAAGAAAAGCTCGGATGACCGAGCCAGAAATAAATCGTACTCAATCAACCTAATCTGCCTCTCTGCTTTCCATACACTATGCAATTTTTGCAAAAACAAGTTAGAAAATAATGGTACTACTAAGATGCAAGAAAAAAAAAACAACAATCACACTTGTGCGCCAGATTTCTTTTGATCATTACACAATGGTAAAACTGCTTCGAAGATACAAATAAAAGTAGCTCTCTGGATATAGTACGCTTAACTTACAAACAGAGTTATGCGAGGTAGATGCATAGTAGCAAACTTTCACAGGCAAGCCAGCTTGCTGGTGAAGTGCCCAACACCTCCATCATGGCAAGCAAGCGTGCAAAGCCCCGCAAGAGGGCTCGGGTTTGAGCCCCTCGCACGAGCCGGAAGTTACTGCGATAAAATTAAAAGCCGCACAACGCCGTAAGGTGCTGACCGCCGATTAGAGGGTACGGAATTCTAGCGTGCCAGGAGGGCCAAAGGCATCTCGATGCCAAACAGCTCTTCCCACGGGGTCCTCAGGCTGTTCAGCAACGAGTGCAGCGAGGCCTTGGTCTCTGTGGCGACGGTCCACGCAGATTCCGTGCCCCTGTCTTCGTCCAGGAATGTCAGCCTCGCTCTTCTGGCATCCTCGTGGAGGTGCTGCAATGTACACGCACGACTTGCTCGGGCCGTTCTACGAGACATGTGTTCTTCGCTTTCGTCCGCTTCCGCGACAAGCTGGTCGGCGCAGCTAAGGTCGCCGATAGGACAAGAATGGCGAGGTGCCTCTCCCAGATGCCCGACCTCCAGCACATGCTCATTCCCTTACGCCGTGCATTGGCTGTACGTGCCCGCTTTGAGGTCATGAGGCGCCAACACGCTATCCAAGGGGGGAAGCTCGTGCTGGAGGCCGGACGACCGAAAAGCCACCCAAATGTTCTCGTTTTGTCCGTGGGTTTGGAAGGAAAAAGCTCTCTTTGCCTTCTTTTTATTCTAGCGTGAACAGCATCATCATTACGGCGTGCGGCCAAATTTTCTTAATTGAAGACATCGTATTACGCAGGCTTTGATTGTGGGAAACGGCAAGAAATGTCTTGTAACAAATCTGTGACACTTTTTTGAGGTTTAGAAATGTCTATTACAGCAGCCAATTCCGAAACGTGCCGATTCTCGTTAAACGGGCACGTGTAGGGAGGTTTTATTTTGGGAAGTGAATCTGAACTCGACGATATGCCACTTGAATATTTCAAAATACCGTTCAAATACCTCATGTAAGTTGTAAAAATCACAAAAAAAAATGTTTTAAAATGTGAAGCGCCTCCCCAATCTCAAATTTTTTGGCCGTCCGTCTGTGTCAGTGCATTCACTGCTCAATTTAGCGGGGAGACTAAATTGGTGTTTAGGTTACATGACATCAATTGATGTCGCGTGACCCAACGTCGCATAATTACACACCAAGCTTCCCCACCAAGGTTGGCGGAAACCCATACACCAATTCAGTTTTTCCGCTCAATTTAGCAGGAAAACTGACGTAATGTGACCAATACAGCAATTCATTTTCCCACTAAATTTTGCAGGAAATTTGATGTCGCCTGACCACTTCACGAGACCTATAGACCAGAAACAAGTTTTCCCGGTAAATTTAGGGGAAAAATTTATGTTGTGACCTGATGTCACCTGATCTACAGCAATTCAGTTTTCCCACCATATTTGATTGGGAAATTAATGTCCCGTGGCTTGTACACCAATTTAGTTTCCCCACTAAATTGAGCGAGTGAATTGACACCATGTGACCTGTGCACCCAGTTTGCCTGCTCATTCGAGAGAGAAATTTATAAAACGAAAAGTTCCCCTTCACTCCTCGAAATGACGGTTTAACGGAGAGCTTTAGAATAGGGGGTCCAAAAGAAATAGGGGCTCACCACAGCACATGCGCCAAACCCTAATTGTGTTTCGGGTTAGCCCCTAATGCGAAATTCAAGAAATGGCATGAGGCTCCTATTAACCCTTTGTGGTCATCTGTAGGGTATCTGCCGACAAATAAATATTCCTGTTCTGGACAAGCACTGGGGCCCGACAGCCCCTTTCTTCTTTGCGGTCAAGCGTCGGGTGCCTCCCGACAATTTCAACTTGCACCATCTCGTCACGTATGTAAACTATGCATACCTAGTTTTTTGTCTCTCCAACCAATGCCGTCAGAGGCGCGACATTTTTTTTTGCTAGATGCATGCGAGCGGAGGGGGGAGGGTATTTTGCGTGCGTTTTTTGGTGTTTAACATGGCAGCCTCCACTCCGTTCACGTCTTACGGACTGTGTAGTCTGCAGTGAGAGGAATTGAAGGGCAAAGACGTGCAACTGATTCCTACTGTAAAACCTGGACTTGACACCCTGGCTTGCACCCCGGCATTTGCTTTGAAAAGTACCATACGCTGCACAAATACCGCTAGTATAGTTATAGTTCAAATGAAAACATTTTCAAGAATGCAGAGTTGATTCAAATATAACATTGATTGCAGTATATTAAAGAGTTGAATTTGAAGTCACTCGTTTTGATCATTTTTTTTTGCTTAAACTGATCTGACCAGAGGTGCCTACAAGAGGAAAGCTCACATGACCCCGAAAGGTTAATACCGTGCAATGGAGTTTGCCCTCACAAGTCATGCCACCTGGTGCACAACTTCCGCAACAATAGGAAGTCTGTTTCGTCATTTATGCCGTTGAAGTTACTCTACTTGCGTTGGCATAGTGCGCAACAACACAAGCATACAAACACCTTTTTCTTTTCTTTTTTTTCTTACAGTCTGTTATTAAAACTATTTATGTTGCATCCTAACGTGTAAAACAGGGAAGGCTACAAGCACAAGGTCCTTGCTTTTTGTACAGGGGGAAGGGGGGTGGGGGCACGTGGTAACAATGATGTTTGGAGATAAAATGCTGCATTTTGTACATATTTTATCTATTTCCTCAGCTCTAGCGATCACGTAATTGATACTGAGCTTCGGTGATTAATTTTTCTCGTAGCGCTCAATCAAAACTGAATTTGTGGCTGTGTGGCTTTGGAGAAACGGGATGTACAGCAAAGAGGCCTTACCTCTATGCTGTACTCCCCGTTTACTAAAAACCAGAAATAAATTAAAAAAAAATTTTTTTAAGAGAACATTAGCCACACATTAGAATGTTCTGGCGTACAGCCGGCAGAAAAAATAAGTAAGGCGGGTACAATTTTGCCTTTAATTTATTCAAGATACCGAAATAACATTCCGACTCGGATACGCTGTCTTTGTGGCACTTGATATTGTTATCAGGTGAGGAGTTCCACAGTGTTAGTCGCAAATTTGCCAAGTTGATATTTGTTGTTTCGCCAATGCTGACTACAAATTTGTTAAAACAATTTGAAGCGCTTTACTTGTAGTCAAATTTAAAGCCGATACATTGTGACAGTATAGTATGCATATCTATCTAAATGGTGCGTAAATTAGGTAGCTAAAATACCGCCAAACAGCTTAAAGACACGTCTGTAAAAATATGCAATGTATATATTTTGAATTATTAATAACACAATAACACGGCCAACCCCTGGTCTGCAGCCTTATGTTCCGTTAAACCAAAAGGTTTCACACCATCTTAATCTTTAATTTTCTAGTCACGTTGGGGCCCCCCATTTCTTAGGGGAACCCAAACATTGGGGCCCCCTATTCTAAAACTCTCTAATGTCTTATAAATAATTTTCAATGATTGCCCCTTAAATGTTGTATTTCAAGCATTATAGGACTTTGGGGAAAAAGGCCGCTGCCACGTTTCCTTATAGGTTAAAATTCAAGCTCTTTCAATACATGGCGCACTTTAATAGTATTTATCTTACAAAAATTATGTAGTATAACAACGTAGGACTCCACCATAGCAATGTGGCAGAGTCCCAGTGATTGGGATTTTTACTGTCTTTATTTTTTATTACTGTTATTACTGCTGTTACATTTACTGCTATACTGTTACTACTAATATTACATTTGGTTACTGTATTACTGTTGATATTGATAGATTATCTTCGATTAAGTCGTAGATATTATTTTTCGGTGCTAGGATTGCTTTTTGTTTAGAACTGTTGTGTTTATAATTAGCATGTATGACACTGTATCACCCCACTCCTGCCTTGTCCCTATATTGGGCTGGCGGTATTGATAAATAAATAAAAAAAAAAATTGCCATGTGTCTTGAGCAAAAGTGCGACCAACTTTTGACACAAGGCTGGAAAACTCATTCTGATTACATTGTGCCGTCCGTAAACTTTTGTTTTTCTCTGGCATTCGATCAACTTGCGCACCATAACAACATCTGTGCACAAATGGATAGATTATTTTTGGTGCCCTTTACGATTTCATCGGATGATTTGTCTAGGAGCTCTGGCCCAGAGCTGGCGCCTGGCCTTCGGCCTGAAGTTTGGCGTTGCACAAGTGTTTGGGTAGAGTATGAGGTCATCTCCTTACTTGTATCCTTCCTAATAAAAAAAATGAACAAAAAATACCTAGAGAAAGTTTTCAGGCCAACTTACGACAGCTGTGAGGTTGCTGATCTTCTGGTCGATTAAAGGCTCGTAGCGCACCATCCCGCACTTGATGGCGCCCTTTGGAGACTTTAAATAGTGGACCCGGCTCACATGGATATCGCACCTTGTCACTACCAAGGCCACCGACTCGGGATGCACTGATCCAGCTGTATCTGAAAGGCCAGTTAGAACATCTCGAGTACACAACTGCACTCTAACCTAGCCACGGCCCTTTTTAAACATGCAAAAACGTAATACTTAAAGCAGAAAAATAGAAGCCAGGAAGGAACAAACTGCCTCTCTATTTCTCCTTTCCATTCTAAAAAGGAGGATCATCTATTACCCGACCAGAAAGAAAGAAATTTTCTCTCCTTCCTGGGGGAGTTGAGCTCCCCAGGCCAACAGCTCCTAGGGAGCAAGGCCATAAGACTGGGTTTTCCATGTCAGCTAGAACAGGTATGGTATACCAGGAACACGTCTCCCACTGGTGTGTTTAGTGTCCTATCCCGCCCGTACATCAAAAGTGGTTCCGAAGTGGCAACAAACGACGTCGCAGAGGCCGAGCCTCGTGCTGTCTGATGTCGCGATCCTGGTGGTGGGTGCAAGAAGTGCCGGCAAAAAAGATGAGTGAATGCGAGTGTCGCTGTCATTGCAGTGCCCCAACTAATGGCTGCCGAAGCTTCCGTGGAGTGCCACACTAGAGATTGATCTGCAGCAGAATGGGCATCTGCCATGTCCACCCTCGCTGCTGTGTCCCAAACAGGTGATAACCACTGGGGGCCAGATCAGTCTGTACACATGCACAATGAATTGCCCGACAGGTCGTAAGATGTATCAGAAAGACGGCTGATCCTGACCAGACGTCGTCCAATCACGGCCTCACGTTAATGCACGCATTGCCATGCTGCGACATGAGCCCTCTCGTGTTGCAGTATGAAAACAGTAAACCACGACAGGCTCAATGGTGAACACGATTAGCTTCCAAAACCACCCCTGATGCTACTAAAGAATACTGCTCCACACCTGCCAACCTAGCAACATAAAAATTCGGGAGACCGCCGCACGGGGGGGGAGGTGAAACATTATTATTATTTTTTTTGTTTGACAAGAAACCCCGTAAAGAGGCACTCTGCGTGAATCCCACTGTTTTCGCAGTTGTTTTGGAGTAAACTGTTGGTGGTGCCTTGCCCTTCTACGGCACGAGCATGGTTCTGATGCTTTCGTGAAGCAATGTGCATTTTGATGTCAAGCTTGCCGCCGTGCGAAAAGCTCACACATCACAGGCACACATGGTACAGAATCCATACTTGTCAGCTTTCCGTGAAGTGACAAAGCACGGAAACTCAGTCGCGTATGATCTCAGAAATACTTGCAAGTACTTCTTCTTGGCTTTTGAAAGTGCCATCGATCGTTCCAACAGATCAGTGGTTCCAACTAAACTCGGGGAAACACAAAGAGTAGTTCGGCATTCCGCGCCTCACTCGACGACTTGACAAAGCCAACTGAAGCCTAGCGCACCCGTGGTCATATAAGCCGTGTTCCAAAATGCGCTCTAACTTCAGGAGTAGAGGTTTCGTACCTTGGCGTTTGAAAATCTATCCTCGTTTTACGCTACTGCTCTGAGTTGTCACGTGGTAATCCGCCGGAGTAACCTAAACCTACTCTCGAGTAACTCGCAATGAAAAAAAAAGAAACCTACGGCGGATACTTTTCGGGAGATTTGAGGTCGCGTCCGTACAATCGGGAGATGTGATCAAAATTCAGGAGGCTCCCGGACGATTCGGGAGAGTTGGCAGGTATGCTGCTCAAAGAAGCAGGTACGTCCATCTCACCAGAAAGTGTTAAATAAAACATTAAATATTACATTGCCACCTTCCAATTCGTAACTTTAGAGGGAATGCAGAACATCAAGAGTGCACCGGAGGATGCTTGTCCCCAGAAAATAGATCGCCCAATCCTTCCCACGTCCTCAAATACGGTTCCTGGATTTTCGCCTGGCAACGTCTTAAAAGAGCCATGCTGTTGCCTGCCACGATCCTGGCGGTGTCGCAGGTCTCTCTGCAACCAGACGGTCAACAAAAAAAAACACTATTGTTGGTTGTCTATGAACTGCGATAGCATTCGTCTAGGACAACCTCAAGGACGTCGAAAAAAACGTTCTAGAGGAGGACACTAAAGACAACCTCTAGGGCGATCTCAAGGACGACCTCAAGGGTCATGTCTAGAACAACCTCTAGGACAATCTTAAGGATGACCTCTAAAACAACCTCAGATGACGTCGAGGGCGACGCTTTGAGGACGATGTTTTGGACGACCTCTAGGGCAATCTCAAAGACCTCCAGAACGATGTTGAGGAAGATGTCCTAGAGGATAACATCAAAGACGACCTCTAGGACGATGTTGAGGACGACATTTAAGACGACCTCAAGGATGACCTCTAAAACAACGTTTTGAGGACGACGTCAAGGTCGTCAGGTCCTTCGAAGGGGGTGCAAATGTGAAGGAGTGAGAATGTAAGCTGAGACGGTTTACTGCATATACCTACTGCGCATTAGGAAGCCAGAAGGTCCAAGAAATCCAAGGGGGTAGCTAAAGAGTGCTATCGCATTAAAACCAAATTAAACTGCTGACAGCACCACACGCCAGTCCCCGTGACAAAACTTGTTGCCACTCCGGGACCACTTACAATGTGTGACTGCGATAGGACGGCAAATACGCCACTAAAAGACGCTTTCCAGGCACCATACTCACCGGCGTCTCTGTCCCAGAAGCCCAAGACGTAAAGGACCACCTCGTCTTCGCCGGCGCCGGGGGGAGACCGGCGTCCCTCGGGACGGCTGACCACTTCCCTCTCTAGCTGGGCCAGGCTCTCACTCACGTCCATCTCCACCAGGGGCGGATTCGGCACCCTTTGCTGGAGGACACCTGAGAGCAGGCACAGAGAAGCATGTCTTAGCACGTGGGTTCTCGGAACAGGTTCCTGGAAACCAGCGCCGGTTCGCCGGCAGACACGGGTATCTCTCCCGGTGGTTCAAATGGCTGCAGAAGGAATTTTGAGGTCGCGTGACCGGCTTTGTGCGGAGAAAGTGCTTGGCGTTCCAGCCGACCTTGCTCGGCACACTTAAACCCTTGCCCGTCATTTTATATATTTCTCGCTTATTGTCACCTTCCTCAGAAATAACTTTACATGCCGCTCATAAGTACACAAACACAATTCGTTTTGCTTACATTTTGAGCCTGTTTCTCGTTCTTTCTGTACGCATAATCGGACCCAATTAACCGAAGCGAGGACGGACCTATGAAGGCCATTTATTCGGAACGCCAGGTACTTGCAGTTTTTCGTCCAAACGGAAACCGGTCACATGACTTCAAAATTCTTCTCAGAGCTTTCGTAATCGCCAGGAGGGATACCTGCATACACCCGTCAACCGGCCCACGGGGTTCCTCAGAACACCTTCGGCGGTTCCCCGACCTCCTAAATTTCCTCGGCCGTACCTTGGTGTGCTTCCAGTTCAAGTACTGTTTTAGCAGATCTGAGCCACCCATTGGTGCATATCTATGGGCCAGACATTCCTTCTTACCTGCATTCTTGCTTACAATGTCTGTAAGCTTCTGTGCCACTCTGCGACTGCCATTCGAGAAAGATGGGGGTTCTTTGAGATTGGAAAGCCTGAGAGCCCGCTTTAACAAAACAGAGTGCAGCCGACAAGTCCGTAATTCTGGATTTTTCATATCGCCCACTGGAGGCTAGGGGGCACAGTGGGGTACAGAAGGGGAGGCAGGTGCTGGATAGGTGTTTCGCATAGGCGCAAAGGCATTCCGCATAGGCGCAGAATGAGTATGAGTCCCAGCCGAATGCCAACGAAGCACTTGTGTCCATTTCTTGCTGGCCTAAATTCAGTTGCCCTCATCCCATTCGTGGTAAACTATGCAAAGAAGAAACAACTCCCTCATAGTTGTTGCTCTTTTGAGCACAATAGTTACAGAAATATTACGAGTCTTAAAATATGTGTGGTGTGGCTAGTTCGCAAAAATTTGAGATTGCAAAAATGAGGGGTCTTAATGTAACTAAAGCAAGGGTGCAGGCGAGCTGGTTCAATACTGACATGGTAACCCTGGAACTGGGGAAAAGAAGGGACGTAGGACAGACACAAAACTCCAAACACAGCTAAAATTTTATTTCACCGTCACGTCCCTAAACAGAACTACGAGCAAGCGACACAGACATAAAAGGTTTAAAAAACAAAGAGTTTACGGACGGCCAAGCAAAGCAGACACGAAAGGTTTGACAACAAAGAACCGCAGAACGAGACATGATATCAGTAGGCACACTTCTAACAAAGAAACATTGGAAGGAGGATGCAAGAGATAGGTAACCAGGCACACCTCTAGAAAGACCACGCAACGCAGTCACAAAAGGTTTGACTACAAAGAAACTCTGAACGAGGACACATGATACCAATAGGCACACTTCTAACAAACAACCGTCAAAGGTAGCGTGTGTCTGCTCCGCTTGGCCGTACAACGGTTCTTTGTTGTCAGACCTTTTATGTCTGTGTCGCTTGGTCATAGGTCTATTTAAGGAAGTGACGGTGAAATAAAATTTTAGTTGTGTTTGGAGTTTTTTGTCTGTCTTATGTCCCTTCTTTTCCCTGGCTCCAGGGTTACCATGTCAGGGTCTTAATGCAACCACCAGCCTAATGACTGGTGGCGGCTTCACACCTGCTACCATTTAAGAGGGCGCGGTACCTCTATTTATTCGTCCGTTTCAGCCACCAGATGGCGCGCGGCTCGAAACGCGGTTGAACGCGCAACTTCTAGATGGCGCCAGTATCGAGGTGTGAAAAGGCCCGCGTTATCCACTGCGTGAAATAGATCCCGAAATGTGCCGTGTTCTCCCGGCGGAGGAAGTTTCTCCCTCCCTCGCGCGCGCTTGGTATGTACGCGCGGTGGCCGAGTCCGGCCTCTGCGCTGTGTGATGCAGTGGGTGGCGCTCGTTTCTGTTCGGAGGTAGGAATAAAAATGCCGGTCCCCTTTTTTACGATGCTCGTTTCTATAGCTTGTTTTTCTTTTTTTTTCTTTTTTTTTATCTCAAGTGACCTACAGTACCGCCTGTTCGAAATCGTCCTTTGCGGTGAGCGATTGAGAGTCAGGTTAGCATTTTATTTGGGTCAGCACTACACGTTCAATGGAGACCTCGGGCGGCGATGTAAATATGCATTGCTCCCCAAAGTGTGTCCAAGGTGCGCAATGACAATTGGAAAGGGTATTGAAGGCGCGCGACCGTTGGTTGGTAAAATACGTGCGTTAGATTCACTTATTCAGTCTAATCATTTTTGCCAACGTCTTTTATCTGTTTCGACAAATGAAATGGTCGAGTCTATTGATAACCTTAGCTAGATTGGACGTACGGAGTGTCCGGGCTTTAAATAAATTTGCTTCGTTTATGTGAATGAATAATTGTTTTCTCTTTTCCGTGCTCGGTGCTATGCAAAAATCGCTGAGATGTTATGGTAGTTCAGTGTGGCGGCGATTTGCACGCTGACTCGCTATTGCATTCGTTGTGCACAATATGTGTTCAGATGGAATGTGCCAGATCGTATTTCCGATCGATATGATAGATTTACTTTGCTACAGTGTTAATTATATTTTCCTGATTTAAACTGGTTCGTCCCTGATCTGAGCCTAAGTTCAAATTCGAAGGGTAGACAGACTTAAAGCGTCGTAACAGCCATAATGCGCAGAAAGAAATTAGTGCCATGAAAGAAAAACAAAAGGATACGAGGTGGCTCAGTGTTATAGAAGTAATGAGTGTGCAAAAGATGCCATCGTACGTGTTTTTTTTTTAATTCTCCGCATCGCTGGGAAACGCTCAAGGTACCAGCAAAGACAGCGAGCTGGCGTGAAATTTCCATCGAGCGGAAAACGAGTGTCATTTTTATTTCATCATGCGCTTTCATTTTGATATGGCTCAAAATGCGCGCGAAATAGTAACAAGTAAGGCAACAAAATTTAGATGTTAGGTCTGGAGCACCGCCATACTCAGCCGTGTTGGGGGCATCTCGCGAGTCAATACGGCAAAGGTATTGCGCGTCGAACTGTACGTGAGAGTTATCCATTTCAACGAAACCTTGATTTCGCAAAACTATTGTGGCTCGAGTCGTGGCTTCCAGTACTTGGAAGCCACGAGCGAGAAATAAATGACAGTTGATTATGAAGGACTATCGCGACGTGAAAACCCATTAAAGAGAGTTCCAATAAGACGAGAGCTTCCCTTTCTCTTCAAGTGCGTGGGTTACGCTCTCAATCCTGCACCTGTGGTAACACTGCAGGCTCCTAAAATCGCTTTAAAAACGTTCCTGATCAAAACAACTTTTTTTTTTTTTTTTTTTTTTTTTTGTCGAGGCGCTATTTTTTTTTTTTTTTTTCCTTTTGTCTACCTTGATACCCCATCAGCACAAAAACTACCATAAACTAAAAAAAAAAAAAAAAAAAATAGTGGGCATACAACGACAACGCACCCACTGGGACCCGAGTCAAGGCAAGAACAACGAACTACTAAAAGGGGAAAAAAATCATGTTCGCATACACAGACAGAACGCCTCCATCCAAAAGAAATGAATCATGCGCTTGTTCTGCCAGTCTCGTTCTGAGTCTATCAAAAGCCACAAAGGAGGAAGACAATCAGCGCCTACACCACTCCCCTCCCCTCCCCTCCCTCCCTCCCTCCCTCCCTCCCTCCCTCCCTCCCTTCCCTCCCCTCCCCTCCCCTCCCCTCCCCTCCCCTCCCCTCCCCTCCCCTCCCCTCCCTTCCCTCCCCCCCCCCCCCCCCCGCCCACCACCCCACCACCCCTAAAAAGAAGAAAAAAAAGGTTTCTTGGGCGCGCGCGCGCGCGGTCGCCCAAGCGATGACCTTGGAAGGGTATGCGATTGTAGCACGTTTGTCCCCCGGTTGTGCCCCTGTCTCGAATGCCACGGTCCGTTTCTCCCAAGTGCCCGTCTTATCTTCCCGAGTATCAACTCCGCAGTGATTCTGAATCATTCCGATGCTTTCCAACGTTGCAAAACTTTTAGACGAATATTTGCACAGAAGTATACACTGTTCGCAGAACTATCTACGGCGCTAAAATTCAAAAGCGCCGTGTTGGATTCGGGAACTCGTGTAGGTTTAGCTCATTGTTGGAACATTCTTATTCGCTCGATGAACTCCACAAAACGTGTAAATATTAGAATGAACTTTACAGAGAACGATAGTTGTTGTCGGGGTTCCAGGCGACCGGACAGGTCGCAATTACTGGCTGATTAAAAATTTTATTTCATAATCACAATCGTATCATCAAGGGCACGCCATTTCCTCATCACTTCTTCTACGAAAAGAGCTGCTGTATTCGTAGCACACACAGACGGAAACGGTTGAGACTGTGCCCAAATAATATCTTCTTTTGGCAGGTACTGCGCAGCGATTACACACAATATTTCTAACATAAACATGCTGCTCCACATGTCTATTCACAAGATGCAATACATCGTTCTCCCAACTTTGTTGAAATGGGCATGAAGGCGCGTAACCGTCACTTTTTTGAAGTTCTACTTAGAGGTGAAGTGTTTACCGTAAAAAGTCGTTAATTATTAATTTTTTTCCGTTCCACTACAAAGCTCGATTCACTTAAATTTTTGTTTTTATATCGTCTCTACAGCGCTTTTACGTCGGTACTTTCGTGTTAGAGGACATCACATAATGTGCGAAAAAAAAAACGGTAGGATTGATGCTGCATAGCCTTTTTTTTTGTGGACATCAAGAAAAAAAAAAAAGATAGTAGTTGTCTTCACTTCGCACTGCATGTTTTAGCACGGAAGTTCCTATTTGGTTATGATGTCTTTATTTTCTTAAAAATTGTATACAGTAATTTAAACTACCGAATTACAAAAACGTTGAAATTGTATAATTGCTTTTCGTTGGGACGCCATGACGACAGCGACACTCGTGTTCCCTCGTGGTTTTCGCCAGCATTTCTACGATGAATTGCCAGGATCGCGAGATGCAACAGCGTGACACTCCGCCTTCTGTGACGTCATTTGTTGCACTTCGAGACCACTTTTGATGTATGGCCAGCATAAGACGCTAGCCACACCAGTCGGAGACGCGCAGCAGGTGCCATAGTACTGCTCCTAAAAGTAGCTGTCACGTGCTTTGCTCCGCGACTGTGATTCCCTCACAGCAGCTCTGACTGAGGGTTGCCAAATTACGGTGAAACGGAATATAGACAAAACAGACCGGAAACGAGCTGCCAGCATATGATAGTCAAACTCCAACAAAAAGGATTAGTTTCTTCCCAAGCTGGACGACATTTACCGGGCATCTTTAGAGGTGCGAAGCTCAAAATCACGCGTACTCATAAGATTTTTTTTTCTCGCGTGTTTGTGATTTTTATGATGTCCTGCAAGCAAGAAAAAAATATATAGGGTGAAGTCACTCCGAGGGGGTACCGATAACTGCGAGCCACGAACATGAAGGATTCGCTAACATCCGTCAGGAGTGTGAACGGTAAATCGTCACGCAAACATATTCTCACAAGCTGCAAATATTTATTTGGCTTAGCAAGTAGAATACTAGTATACTAACGACATGTGATTATTGTACACAAGATACCATTTCTCGGTTCTTCAAAACCGTTTCCCTAGTGTGAACGGTCGCGCTACGGGCCGCGGCTAGCCGTGTTGTGTCGTCTGCTACTGTACCGCCAACAGGAGAGCGATAGCTCTGTGTGCTCCACAGATGCGTGTTGCGGTATAACTCTGTACGTCTGTCCTAGAGGAAGACAAAAAGATAGGCTCTGTGACCCGCTCCTAAGTTAACAAAAACAAACAGAAGTATACTCGTTTGGACTGAAAGGTTTACAAAATAGTGACCAGACATTGGAAAAGCTTATGTCACAGAACTTGGTTTATGAAATGGCATCATTGTTTCGAGCAAGAAATCACCTGCTCACCACTGGGACGATGAAATCGTCACTATTTATTGCGTCAGGTATATTTGCGCTCATGAAGAAAAATCTGAACGCATCCTTCTCCCAAAGTCCTATGTCGAATAATAAACACTTTTTTAAACATCTATGCACAAATAACTCATTTTTTTCTACACTTGTATATACACGTTAATTAAACGAAGTCAAACCGCATTTTTGATTAGATCTTGATGTCTACACCAACTACATTCATATTTTAGGGCTTTATTGAACGATAACTTCAACTATAGTTAATGGAACACGATGGCTCGATCTCAACAAAAACCTCAACGTGCGAAGCTTCCACAGACGGTCTCTTGTGAGTATTCTCAATGTGAGACTTCAGAAGCTTTCGCTTGCCATAGGTAGCTTGCTTTTGACTACAGCACTGCACGGGCCCGGAAAGCGCGGAGCGCGCTGCTGTGGGGAGAGGTTGACTTACAAGATGACGTGTTACGTGGTCACGTAAGATGGCGTCATTTCGTGCAGCGTGATCACGTAAGATGACGTCATTTCGTGTAACGAGATCATGTAAGATGACGTGTTTGTGTCACGTGATCACGTAAGATGACGTCAGTTCGTATGAAATGACGTCATCTTACGACAACGCCAACAACATTAGTGCCGTCCGGAACCATTGACATTAGAGACGCGCCTTTTCGCTTGAAGAGCTGATATGCGTTGATTGTTATTTGTTTCTTTTGCCTACTACACACCATTCAAAAGCTCGCCTTCTGGGTGCCACCCAGGGCCGTACCCAGAAAAAAATTTCGGGGGGGGTTTTCGGGGACAACGGCGGCCATTTTGAAAGTGTCTATTGTCTTATTTTTGCCTATGAATCATGTGCATCGGTGGCATATAATGAAAGTTACAGTAAACCGGAGAACTCGTCCCGGTTTGGTACCCGGTAGCCGACCGGCGCCACTGCGCGGGCGCAGAGGTGGAGATTAAAATCGGCTGGCTGCCAGTGCACCGACCAGGGCCGTACCCAGAAAAAAATTTGGGGGGGTTCAGAACCCCCTAACCCTCCCCCCTGGTTACGGCCCTGGTGCCACCAACTTCGTCTACTGGGCTGCGAAGCGCGTTCGAGCGTGCGCAATACCTCTCTAGGCCGAAAGATTGTACACTGAGTATGCGTTCACAGCTCAATGACTTAGGCATTTTTCGTCAGGATAGATGCTCCCACGAGAAGAGCGTAATGGATATGTGAATAGAATTAGAAATTTGAAATGTTCTTGTCCAATCGCATTTTTCTTTGGTTATCAACGCTTTTTAGCGTCATCACAAGACGTTCAACCCATAATACACTGGTGATTAAAAAATAAGCACCGAAAAACATGCACCGATTTTCGCTCAAAAATTAACACCGGAAAAAAAACATACCGTAATCATTACCCATGTCACCTTTTTGGGAGATATGTGAATTTCCAGAAGAACAGCGAGTTATCACCCTCCCCTAGGAATACCCTGTTTACAGAGCAGGCGACCCGTTTTTCCCCGCGTAAGATTGCGGTGACCACGAACCGTACGGAAGTCACAGGACGTCCGTGAAAAATAAAAAGGAGGCAAACGACGATCTACTCTGTGCACGCTTCATCCCCGATTTCCACGACCCCAAGGCCGAAGGACGTTTGTGTGAAGGATAACGATAAAATAAAACTTTGCGTAAAAAAAAAAGCCCGTTTTTAAAAGAAAAAAAAGAGTAGGAACAAGCACAACGCGTTGATGGACCGCGAGGTTGTGGAACACCTCGCGGTCCGCTTGCCACAGGACGGTTGTCTTCGACCCATAGCTCCAAGGTGAATTTGCCACTTGCGAAAACACGGAGACCTACCCAGCGAGAACCAGGAAAGCAAGACACGCACACTGACGCCTCGGCGTGCAGAATGAAACAGGATACGGGCGCGGAATACGGCCGCGGAAGAACACCTTGCACAGTGCCGATCCGGCCGATCTCCGAACGTACGATTTCGCATTTCGTGGACAGCGAGCGCCACCGCACGAAAGAGAGAGGTACCTTAAAAACGACGAAAACAAGCACCGAAACCTTGGTTTTTTATATTTGCTGTAGTTACGGAACCAATCGACTTACATGAATAATTTGAATATTAATCGATTCCGTAATAAATTTAGAAGACATTAAGCGCAATACTCCTTATTTTTGAATTTAGATAATTTTGTAAATTCGCTCCGAACGCAAGAGTGCCGAATTAGTCGATTTTGACCATTTTCATGATTTTTTAAAGAATATAATTAAATTTATGATAAAACATTTGTTGCGCTTAGTGTCTCGATAATGACTCAATGTCTTTAAAGCCGAAATTTTCAAGAAGATCCGCGCAGCCGTTATTATGTGAGAATTTTTTTAATTTGGTGAAAAACCTCATGTATTTTCTATGGGGCTCTGAGGTGCATATTTGCCTCTTAAGGCAAATATAGGTTCCTCGAGGTTAAGAATTTTGATAACTCCTGCCCTATCCCATGAGATTTGTGCAGGAACATGCACGCAGCTCGTAGTATGTCACTGTAAACCGGAGAAAGATTTCCACCGCACCAGCAGCTGGAACCTTAAAACCGATATGACATTTATTTGAATGTAGGTTTGAGCTTCTTTAAACGTAGAATATGCTTTTGCAAAAAATAACTCTGTGAAAATGTAGACACAGAAATGTTACGACTAGGAAAACAGAGTATAGTGTTACCACAGTAGCAGGACTCACTGTGGGTGGTGGGGTTCGTTGAATGCCGTTTCCTTGAAACACGTCTTAGAAAACAAGCGCTTTACGTTGAAGCATGATTTAGAGAAAGCAGAGCTTCAATTTAGAGAATCGCCATTCATCTAAAAAGGGGCTGTATTAGCAAGTCCCTCTGGCCGCCGTGCAAAAGGCTAGCACGCGATTCACTGAGGCATCTTTAGCTAGGCTGACAAGGGCTGTTGCGAAATAAATGGTCGCTCTAATTTTATTTTTTCCACTTCTCCAAAAATTAGGGTTACCTATTTTCAAGCATCTTTTTTATTATTCTCAGCACGTTTTCAGAAATAGGGGTGGACCTATATATCCTAGATAACAGAAAGTATAAAACAGAGAGAGGACAAAACACAGACGAGTACAAAGAATGTACTCGTCTGTGTTTCGTCCTCTCTCTGTTTTATACTTTCTGTTATCTAGTACATCTTACCAACACGCTCGTTAGGAATATAATACCTATATATCGTTCACCTCCAAGCTGACCGTGTGGCGGAAGCCACATGCTCGTTAGAACAGTCGCACGTCCATCTTTTGCGACGCGATCACGCTCCTGCTCGTACACATGGGCAAAAAGTGGGGTCAGACGATGGAAGGGAGGCGGCCGATTGGTGCGGTGAGCTCGTAGCCCCCATTGCTTAGGGATGAATGGAATGCATAGCATATTCGGAGTCAACCTATTCTTCGAGTAATATGACGGCAGTCGGGAGAAAAGGAGCTGCTCTCGGTAATTTTCTGGAAGGTAAAATAACTGAAAGAATTGGGGAACGTTACCCGTGAAGTATTCGAGGAAACAGTTGCATCGGTCGGCATCACGAACCAGGCACGTGTGCCAGGGCACTCCTGCCTTCTCTGCGAGCCAGCTGAGACGAAATCCCTGGTTCCCCAACAACAAGGAGATGAGCTTGAGACCATCCAATGGTCGGGACTCCAACAGCTGCAGCCAAGCCTTTGGGTCCTCCCTGCAAGTTTTTCAGGAATTCCCTACTACTAGCGTTGGGCCGATCGGAGGATTGTAATTTACCTATTGTTGCTCGTTTTCTTGAAGAAGTAGGCCTTCTTGTTTGAAACGACAAACAAGACGGCCGTTTCCTCCAATATCGACGATGTCACGAGATCCACCTGCAACACGGCAGTTGTAAACATATGCAAACTGGTGAGGACACGAGCTACCACTGTAGGCACAGTGTCTCCACGAAACAAATTTACATCACATTTTTCACTGCAAAAATAAACTACACGTCGCCAAACGCTCATTTCAGAGCTTGCCATCATCCTGTTCAAAAGTATTATAAGCTATTTTTTTACATTTTTAATGCAAAGAGGATGTTTGTTCTTGATAGCTGATGCCATTAACTACCCAAGGACCTGTAGACTTCGTTGGCTGCCATTTCCCCACAGATAATTTAAAAACATTACTTAAAACTAGGATTCCGTGTTGTTTTTTTTTTAGTTTATTTTCCGCCAAATTCGGACAGTGTTTTTCAGAGTTTATTTTTTGCCTACAATTTAGAGTTTATGGGAGTTTATTTTTTTTTTATTCCAAAATCTTTAAAATTCGGAGAACAATCTTTCGGGGGTTTTATTTAAAAAAACAAAATATCTGGGTGTAAGCATGTTCTAGCTTCAAAAGCACGAGCTTCTACCAATTAATATTTTTTCTACTGGATTAGGCATTGGTGCCATGGTCACTGGCAATACTAATTTGTCCCACGACCAAAGTTGCAAACAAGTATTTCTTTGATAAACGTCGACACCTTAAAATTAATTAACTTCCAGAGGTGGTCGTTAAGAAGTTCATATTCATCCCATCCTATCCATCAACCTACCCTGCAGCTGCGCTGGGCAGAGTAGTAAAGGGTGTAACATAGAGGTTCCAACTGCCTGGCTCCTCTCCCCCCTTCTAAGAAATCTCTATGGTTCAGAGCTTTCACTGTCACAAAAACAATCCCTCCTTCCTCCAAGAAGCACCATGGCCCAAACTGGAAACTCGAACAGTGGCTTTTGTCATGACCCGAAAGACCTGTTGTCCTGACGAACCTTGACGAGATAAGCGGTAAGATTTGTTTAGTCAACTGACCGCTTGTAAGGATGGCCGAAGGACCTTAGCGAAAAGAGTTGGGGGAATTGGTGGCGTAATCACCCAAGCGTCCTTCGGAGGCGCCCGATGCCTTACGCTTTCCCTTTGGCGGTAAGCAGCGGCCAGCTCCCGAAAGTGGAAGCAGATTTCCCTGCGTGGGAAGTAAAGAAAGCCTTTGTTCCCAGGGCGGGAGCGGGTGGTTGCCCTTGCCGCCGGGGTAATTGGGGAAATGACATTGTCAAGGACATGTGGGCGACTCCGGAGAGAGAGGGAGGTCCGGCCCCTCTTTGGTATGTCGGCGTGCCTTTTTGGAGGAGAAGTTGAGTTTGAACGAGCCCGTGCGCAAAGCAAGTTGTTTTCTCCCGCGGTCCCGAGGGCTCCGCGTACTCTGTCTTGCGGGACTGAGACCTTGTCGTGCGCGGCAAGGAACTTGGTGCCGAGGCGCTATTGTTGGCGTTGGGCTGCCGCGAGTGGCAGCAGCAGCGTGACAGCCCTTGTACCACATTCGCCCTCCATTGTAAATATATTTATGTAAAAACGTCCATAGAGTCCTCTGGTTCCTGACTGCTGAGAACGGCAGACCCCCACACCACTGCACGGCACTCCACGGTCACCTGGCCCCATCGAAACAATACTATAACAAAGCTATACAATAATATGCAAGGCATAATTGAGCTTGAATGCAGCCCCGATCGGTGCCATTGTGTGCAAGCATTCGATGTATTGAGCCACCTTACATGGCTACGCGTATGTGCACATACTTTCCCTGGAAATTTTCCGAAACTTTGTTGGAGATAATTTCTACAATAATTACCGTACTAACAAGAACCCACACCACCGCACAGCACTCCACGGTCACCTGGCCCCATCGAAACCCGAGGGAGACGACGAGAACGGGGAAAACAACTATCGTTCCGGGAAGGAAGAATTTTTACTTCTTAGATTTGAGAGAAAACTGGGGCGACATTTTCTCAAGACGACTGACTCTGTGTGGTGTCTAAACTTCACTGTAAAATACCCTCCTTTCTTTTTTTGATGGGGTGGAACATGGGTATATCGAAATTTGGAGTTAATTAAATAAATCCAAATTGACGAAAAATTTAACAACAGGTGTTTTTCTGAGTTTTTAGGGTTTGTCCAAAAACATGGCACCCTACTTATAACTTTTTAATTAGATATGTAACAGCACGCCCCGAAACTTCAACATCGAATCCGAACTGCTAATGCTACGCTTGAATGGAGACTGAGCATTCGGCGACGCAGTTTATATTTAGGGTGAAAAATCTGCGTAAAAATATTTTACAGCGAAGCTGTTATGTCCTAGGATCTGGAAAAAAATGTATCCATGGACGTTCACGGCGCTACTTCATTCTGATTGGTCATGGCAAGTATAAATAAAAAGAGGGGGCAACCCACTGAAGTCAGCTTTCTTGGCATTTTTGGATAGTAAGGTCCTGATCCCTTGTTATCATCTACGGTCACCGACTTATCTTAGCTAAGAGTGCACTGTGACGAGGCTGAGGGCAGAATGCGCTGATCTAAACTTCTTGCATTACGCTGATAAGGAGACTTGGGCTCAATCGGAAGAAACTGTCCTCGAAGTGTGCCTCGAAAAATTGGGTTTAGAACTTTCCCATAAGTGACCATGAGGCAATCATCACTTTAGTCACTAAGAATTAAATGAAGACAACCAAACAATGAAGTCGTGTACATGTCCTCATTGCAATCATATGTGAATCGCTGGTCCTCAATCTTCACGTGAAGTGGATGGGCTCTACAATTTTTGTACACGCCCGCACACTGTGCGACACTGATAATGCAAACACGAGGTCATTTTCTTTTCTGTATTTCTCTTACAATCAAATAGTGGTCACCAAAACTACCAATGTAATATAAACTGTTTATTTGGGGCACTCACCTAAGCGGTGAAGTTCGACGCCTGCCAACACTCCCTCATTGTAAATTGTGGAAATGTGCCGACGTTGCATTTGTGCTAACAGCGTTACACGGAGCGTGCATGAATATGAAAAGAGCAGCATACAACACGCTATAATAACTGACAAAGTGAGAGTGGCGGGGCACCTCTGTCGGACGCTCGGCCTCCAGCACATGCTCGTTGCCCTTCGACGTGCCTTGACTGCGCATGCAAGCTCCAGTATCTCGAGATGCCAAAGCGTTATCAAAAGTAGGAAGCTTTTGCCGGAGATGGGACAAGTGAAGGCCCTCCCTGCCGTTCTCGCCTTCTCGGCGACCATTGTCCACTCGACCTGATGCTGCCTCACCTCGAGGAAGCAGACAAAGGTCTCCTCTTGGGTGAAGACGCTGACCTCCAGGAAGAGCCTGACCCTGTGGTCGATGCAGGAGAAGCTCTCCGGCGAGATCTGCTCCCGCTCCTCGAAGAGCTCCCAGAGCGAGGCCATCTCGCGGGGGCTGTTTGACCGCGCCTCAGAGCCGCGGCTGACGCTGGCATGGCTCATGGCACTCTTGAAGCTTGCCTCCGAGAGAAAGGTGTCCGAGGTGTCGGCTGCCCCATTCCTCTGGCCGATGTTCATGCTCTTCGTTCCTATTGGAAAGCGAGTGGCACGGGGTGAAATATAGGGCCTGACGGTGACCTGCCACAAGATCAAAATTGTGGAGAAAAAATAAAAGCAGAAGCGCCAGGCTATTGTCCCATAAAACAGTTAATCGGGTCATTGTTTACGGAGTGTGTTTTGGCGCGCGTGGTTTGCTCGTCACTTTAAGGGGTCACTTTGACGTTAATTCCTTTGTTATGTAAAGTTTGTCCCCTTTCCGATGTTATAATTAGTGATAGGGTGAAATACCCAATGTTGAGTTTCGGACTGTTTCAGAAATTTCGTAAAGGGACACAACACCCCCGAAAATTTTTTTAAATTTTTTGCCAGGCGATTTATTATGGTGTCAGAAGACTACCCAATATTTTGCTACAGTGTGACATATATTTTTAATGAAGTCAAAAAATGCAACTGGTTGACACCGGAACTAAAACTGCACTGGGGAGAAAGAAGAAGTATACAGGAGGAGAAGGATACCAGAAGTCACGTGCCTATGCAACTTTTTTTTTTCCACGCAATGTATTTGCAGTTTTTTAGAAGCCACAAAAAAATGGGTATCACATTTTTTTGTCCATTTCTAGCATTGAGTGGGTGTCTTCAATGACTCACAACTTTGATTATCTTTCGTGGTTATGTCTAAACCACAGAAAACGGTGCGTGACCACATAGAAGAGAGTGAGCCCGACTCAAACCGGCCAGTTTTTGATTGGCAGTATTTAGGTGGAAAGGAAACTAATTTCGAGCCGCAAATTGTGCTCTGGGTAGTTGGGCTCTCACATGTCATGTACAAATAAAAACCTTGGCAAGCATAAATCATAAATACCCTGTCAGTGTCCATTTAAGCTCTTTCAACAAAATTTTGCCCATTTCGGTGTCTCGGGAGGTTTGTCTGTGATATTACAGAGGCGCATGTCTTTGTTGAGTGTCGATGCAGTAGCAAGATTGGAATGCAAATGTTTAACTTTCGTTTCAAAGTCATTGAAGTGTCAGATGCATTTTGGCATCTCACTTCTCAATCCGTATGTATTACTGTGGCAAGGAGAGCCTCATTGTGGCATCTCTTGAGTGAGGCAAAGCACTTCCAGCATCTCCACGGGACCCTGAAACTGGTGACACAAGTTCAACATCTGCATTCTTTCTTGGAAAACATGTGTCAACAAAACAACATGCCCTGTTTGTTTTTCCTAATCTCTAACTGAAACAACATCGTAGCATTTATATCTCCGACAATTACAGACAGTCAAACCTCGTTGATACATTCTCGGTTTACATGTTTTCCTTGTGATTCCATTCGCAAAATTTAGTCCTGTTGAACTCTCATAAAAAGGTGTATATCAATTTCCCTCCCTTTCTCTGCTCCCTCCCTTTCTCAGCTCCTCAAACCTCTACGCTGTACTTCGTGCCTGGGCAGGTGTGACCTTAGACTAGGCGGGCTTGAAAGGAATTCAGGCTTTCACAATCGTCCACTCTTCCTTTCGTCTCTTTCTCCAATGTGCGTGCACACTTCCGTTGCGTTCGGCTCCCCTTTTTACACTAGTTAGTTTCATTTTGCGTGGAGTTTGAAGCTCATAATCTTGCACAGTGTGTGCATATCGAGCTTTGCTGTTGCGCACCAGCGTGCTGAAAGCAGTGGCTGACAAAGGGAACATGAAGGTCAGCTTGGTGGGCTCGGAAATGTTTGCTCACTCTCGCAATTCTGGAGAGAGTGTCTTTTCCACCCAGCAGAAAAGACGTGAACAAGAGAAGCAGGGAGCTAAAACTTATCCAAGTGGATAGTGGATGGATGGATGCATTCGGCTGAACCCCGTAAATTGGAAAGTGGTTTGTACCACGTCGCCAGCATTTTTCAAAATACAACCCAAAATACAAAACATTTAAGATTAGGCCTTTTAATAATAATATACTGCAAAGAATCATGATCTGTGCGATGGACGTGCTTCTTTGCAACCAGGTGTACACACCTTTGGATCGACAGGTCTCAACAAAAAGCATAAAGAATAGAAACGAAAACTGGCGTGGCCTGGTGGCCACAGTGCGTGAAATGGAGGAAAAGAGGTTAAATGCACAAGGCCGCAGTTGCGTGCTGGTCAACATTCTCCGGCTACAATTCAAGATAGACCCCCACATTTAAATAACTGTTAAGAAAAAAAAAAAACATCCTCTAGGCATCGTCCTAGACGTCATAAAAATAACAGCTTCACTGGTCCTCCCCATCTTCACGTAAAGTGGAAGGGCTCTAAAAAAAATGTTTTTTCTACCTTTACATCATTCAACAGTGAATTCCTTTAGGTACATTTCGGTATGCTTTCATACACCTAGTAGTGTAATTTAAAACTAAAAAATATTTTTGCTGAGATTACCCCATAACTGAAAGTTTTCCTGCGGTAAGCAAAGAGTTAATGTGCGGTCACATTGAAGATATTTCACCTGTATCACTATTTACTTGCTAAGCTTGAACACGCACACTAAAAACTAAGACAGCAGCACCGGCAGCCTTGTGTTGTCACCACTGACATCCTGCATTGAACCTGCGAAGCATCACTCAAACAATTGCTTGGTTTAGACTGGTACAAGTTTAAATATAGATACTTTTTACTCGTGCAATATTTATTAAAAGAAGTTTCAGCCAAGAATATCACTACTTAATGTCTTTCAAACATAAAACAGCAAAAGCTAAGGCAGTATCGGCCTCCTAAGCTAAGCTTTTAGTAGTAGTAGCAGTCCCTGACATTGTAAACCAATCACTAGTAGTCAAAAAAAAAGATAACACTTACTGGAAATGCCAACTGTGGGTTCTTCAACAATTTCTTTGAGTGTGGGAAGCACTACGGTTGGCGGGCTGGTAAAAACACATAAAAAAAATGTTTATTACACACTATTAATTTGATGTTACACGTGTCATGTGAAACTACAAGGGAGCAAAGGGCCCCATCAAGCTGTTAAACTGCATTTTTCACTTGCATCCGTCATTCATGTGCCAGAATTAAAACGAAGTTCTAATATACTGTAAATATAAAATATGATCAGAACACGTTAAAAAATAGTTTTCTCATAAAAAAAAATCACACACACACACACACACACACACAAATATAAATGTAGCTAAACCCATAAATGGGGCAACATAATTCACTAAATATAGCTAAATAATAACCCAAGATCAGATTGGCCACTGGAATCTAAAATCTGAGAAATTCCAAAAATTAATACATATTTCTGAAATTGCATCAAGGTGTCGTGCGTCATCGTAGTGTCGTGGGGCATCACGGCGTTACGTGACACCAACATGTCATGTGACAACTATCACGCCGATGACGGTCGTCGTGCGACACCCTGACCTCTCCAACACTACATTCCAGACGCGGACAGAGCTCACCCTATCGGTGCTAGGCATTTAAAAACTCAGCTTCCTTGTTTTCTAGGTGATCTTGGTTTAACCATGCCATAGTCCCTTCATTTTCTTTTCTTACAGACCTCGCTCACAAACCTAAGAAAGACCCTAAAACATTTAACAGTCCACTGGATGAATGTGAAGGACATGGGACAAGGTACTACTCACGGCGATAGTGTTTTCTCCCCCTCCTGAGGTACGTCCATGGCAGTGTAGTTTGCAGAGGAGGTAGAGATGACCATGATGCTGCTCTGGCTCGGGTTGCTTAGGACGGTAATGTCGCTGGCACTCTTGCGAAATCCGGGCCTAAACAAGCCGCCCTGCTGCTCCGGCATCACGGTCTCGATGCTCTCCTCTGAAATGTTGTCCTGGCAAACTGCTGTGAAACGAAAAATAGTTTTGTGTAAAAAATCATCAGACCATCCATATATAACCATTAAGTGCAGTGTCCTGAAGTGCTCAAAACGAGAGTTTTAGCACTTTAGCACTGCAACCTGAGGAAGAAAAGTTGAAACCATGAATGTTAGCCATTCTAGTGCCAAAATTATTACCCTATCAAAAAAGATAAGCCTCCGTTGAAAGTTAGCCCACACATTTGAGGTCTCATTTTCTGTGGCTGAATAATTGCCGAAAGAGTGGCCACACCTAGAAATGGCAAACACACGAGTTCTAAGTGATAGAAGCTCCTGTTGGTACATTTTTCAGGTGACTGCAGTAAAAAGATATATGATCCTGGAAAATGTAACCATCAATGATGCTTTTGGGGGTCTATGGACGAGACAGGAAGGAACTCTCATGCTACAATTTTTTTACGTAAACTATTATGGACTGCAGAGGACTACCATATTGAATGGAATGGTTAAGAACTACAAAACTGAGCATTAAGGAAGTGCTCGGTTATGCCGACCAAGCACTGAAAGCCCTGTTGCGGTCAATATCAGCTAATGCAGAATGAGTGAGTTACCGTAAAATACCGAGCATCTGCCCATTCCACGATAAGCACCCACCCTTCAATTTCGTACAATCACAGAATACACAAAGGACATACCGTGACACATCGTTGACCTTCCATATTGTTTTGCGTCATTATCTCCAAATTTTCAGTGGGCGCTCGCTAGGGATTTTACAGTAGTATCTGGTTGGCACAATACCAGTCAGTTCACCCCCCCCTTTCGGCCCGATTTATACACCAATTAGAGAAGATCATCTTTCAGGATTTTAGAACAATACTGTTCTAGGCTTGAGACAACTCACCTTCTACCATGCCTTCACTTGTAGCTGACTCATATGCCGATTCCTCGAAACAGCTCTGCGCACTGTAGAACATAAATGAGAACAATGAATAGGAAAGTGCTACAAATCAAGCACAAATTGCTTCGTAGTGCCAGAGTTTTTCTACTTTCCAGCACTGTATGTATATAAAACAAAGATGACCGAGCGAAGCAAGGTGAAATTAACCCTAATAGTACTGGGGTAGAAAAAGACCTGCAAAGAAAGTAGACAGCACAGAAAGCTGTAACACAGCTTTGAGACTGTTTCTACGTCAGACTTGGGGTTAATGTCAACACAATTACTTTCACCGTCACCCCCCCCAAGCCTCGTCTTTACGTTCCATGTTGGACTACACGAGCCACTGGAGCCAATCCATAACTAGGGGGGTGCCCCGTGTCCTTCCGGTTGGGCAGAGCAACACGCAGAGTGTGAAGTCACGTGACCAGCTCCGAGCTACGAATTGGCTCAGGGAACTCATAACATCCTTCGCGGTACATCCGTTGCAAGATGAAATGGAGAGTATCCGATTATGCCAAGACCCAAAAAGCTATTATTTGTGTGTGCGTATATATGTGTATATGTTGTGTATGTGCGTGTGCACGTTTTTTGTTTTTTTTTGGCTGCTAAACAATATTTAATTCGACGTGAGTGTGTTGGTGAAGTTATATGAAGAAATATTCGTTGAGGGAAGAGGAAGAAAGCATGAAAGAAATAATAAAAAGTCTGAGAACAACTAATCACTTTTGATTTGTGAATGCGAAAGCATGATTGTTGTTTTTTCGCTCCCTTAGTTCGTCTGCAGCGTAGTGGCATAGACGGCCACGTTTTGCTGGCAAACGGCCAAGCACGCGCTTTCGTGAAGTGACCGCTCTGTAGGCTGCCTAAATGGGCTCTGGCTTTGTCGCCCCCGGTCCCTCCTTTTACCGGTCTCCGTGCCGCTGTGAGCACTGCGCAGCCATGGGCAGGGCTTTTTTGGTTGCTTTTTTTTTTAATTACGCAGCACGACAGCCAATGGGAGCCTCGTTCCTTGATGACGCACGCCAGCCAATGGGAACATAATCCATCAGAAATCGGCTGCACTTGGGAAAGGGAATTTTAGGTACCGTTTGGTCAATTTTTGGCGTGGTTTCAAAGCTGATAACGTCGGTTCACTCCGTGGGACAGTTAATGCTTTCGCATTAATAAGAAAGTTAAGGGCTGTCAGCATGCGTCCGTTCCGCGGTGGCAAAAACTAAAGGCGCCAAGGAGCAAAGTCACGAGCAGCACAACACTACGGCGCCGGTCACCGGGACGCCAATCGCCCAGAACTCTGCATGCTGCTCCAAGAAAATTGCTTTTCTGCGTGTGTGTCCGTTTTTCGACTGCAGCATGTTGCCCGTTCCTTTTTTCTCTCATTTTTCTGTTTTATTGCCTTTCGACTGCCATTTGCTGCCTTTCTCTCCTTCAACTCAATAGTTTAAGGCATTCGTGCAAGGGGGGCAGGTAGTTAGCGAATATGGCTGTACTGTTTACAAGTGCCTGTGGCCACGTAATTGGTATATGCAGAATGGTGTTTGCAATCACAAAACTAAATTAAGCATATATTTGCTTTGCTGTCCTCATTTCCGCAGCACGGCTAATGATGAACAGGTTTTCTTTGCATTTTTAATGCAGATAACGCCGTGTTGGGCATGCTTGTCTTTCTTTTAATTACTAAGAGCTGTAAATGTTTCTTTCCATTTAGCACAGAAAAAGTTTGGGTGGCCACGGCCTAAAGCAGAGTTAAGAACCTGTTTGAACTAGTTCCCAATAACCAGACTGATATTTCAAATGCATCAATGACCCGGAACCAAACTGGAATAAAATGTGAGGCTACTGAACCTGACCCCGAACTGAACCAGAATAATAACCGGTCCGACACCCTGCCTAAAATCCAATCAATTCAGTGTAATTAAGAGCTTTATGTGGCCATTTCTACCCAATAAACTGAGCGTAATTAAGATCTTTGTATAAATTTCTAATCATCATGTTTCAACGGACAAGAGAAAAATTGGTTCATTGGAAAGATGAAGAGGCAAGAATGCTGCGGGCACAAACATCAAGATGAGACGTTTACAACTCTCTGTGATGCCGAATTAGAGTGCAGCTCTTGACGAGGAGGAGGAGAGGGCACGGAGAGGAGGGTATGTCCCTGCTCCCTCTCCGTGCCCTCCCCTCCTCCTCTCCTACTCCCCTCCGATTTAGCGGCAAATTTTCGCTAAATTTGCCACTACATTGAGCGAAAATTTCCCTGCTAAATTTAGAGGGGAAAATTTCTTGCTAAATTTAGCAGGAAAATTTGAGCGAAAATTTTCACGCTAAATTTAGTGGAGAAACTGAATTGGTGTTGAGGTCCCGTGACGGCAATTTTCCTGCTAAATTTAGCGTGACACCATGTGTGACGTCACGAGTAAAATTTTCCCGCCAAATTTGGCGGGAAAATTTTTCGAAAAATGTGGCATGAAATTCGTAGGTTAAATTTTGCATAAAAATTTCCCTGCTAAATTTAGTGGGAAAATTTCCTTGTAAAATTTAGTGAAAACATTTTCCCCTAAATTTAGTAAAAAAATTACCTGCCAAATTGAGCGAAAACTTTTCCCGCCAAATTTAGCACAAAATTTTACCTTCATGACATCACACGTGACGTCATTATAGGGAACATCTCATATTGCAACGTGCGATTACACCCACGCCGCTCAACTCGGAATCGGGTGCTTAAGAGCTGCACTCTAAAACAAAAGACCTTAATCCCGCTGTGCAATAAATGGGTGTCTCTCTTTGCAATTTATCAAAGACATAATCTTGAATGTTCAGCTAAACATGTACTGCGTGCTAACTTATACCGCTGATTCCTCAAGGCCTTGAGACAAGTAGCAGCTTTGATTAAGAAAATATTGTTCCACTTGCGTTGGCATCAGAACAAGAAAGGAAGCCGTAAAGACATAAGAATTCATGGTAATCAAGTGAGAGGGGGTCACCCATGTGTAACGTTCCACATTTTTTTAAAGTTTATTTTTCGACAAACTTAGAGGGTGCTTTTCTTAGTTTATTTCTAGCCAAAAATTCATGGTTTATCAGAGTACTATATCTTTTGTTATTATGGTAGATTCCCAATTCTCCAAAATTCAAAGTTCAGTTTTAGACTTTCATATTTTAAAAAAAATAAGAATAATAAATAGATAGTAATGTCTGGGTGTAAACAAGAGCTAGATTCAAAAGAATGCACTTGTATCAAACAATATTTCCTCAGCTGGACTCGACGTTGGCACCCTAGCCATTGGCAATATACTAAAGCGTTCCAAGACAAAACTTGCAAACAAGTTTTACTTCGATGGATGTCGACACCATAAAATCCCCAAACTCCTGGAGGTGGTTGTTGGAAAGCTCGTTTTCATCCCATCCTATTCTAAGACCCTACACCACAGCTGCACAGAGTGGAGTGGCAAAGGTATGTAATGTAGAAGCTTCAACCCACCCTCACTTCAACTTCTATATATCTCTATGGTTCATAACTTTCACTGTTACAAAAACGCAACCCCCTCCTTTGCACAAATAGTAGGGACCCAACTGTAGAATTACATTGCATGTATGTTTAGCCATTGGGAAGCTAGTCAGCCCCACTGGACATCCGGTATCTCCACTGTGCGGAAGATGTAGCCATTGCAGTACCACTGCTAGCCTGGCGTCTTTAACATGCACGACGCAGTAAAGAAACGTGGCCGCACGCCGGTACGGTGCTTGTCTCGATCGAAACGGGCAAGGGTGGGGATTGATCCCAGGAACCCTGGGTTCTGTGAGGCAACTAAACATTGCGGGCGCCACGTGCTAAAGCTCGAGCAGCCACATAAGACGGAAGAATCTAAAGGAGAGAGACCTTTCCAGGTCGGTGTTTGTTCTGACGGAACTCGACATCAGGCTCTTATCATCTGGACCGTCCACCGCCAGTAGGATGTCGCCTCCACAGCGTGGACACCTGTCAGACTCGTGAACGTCTGAAAATGAAAGGATCGTTGAGCAGTCAGATTTACACTTTACTTTTTGTTGACCTCACAAGACAAGCCAAATCCGGCATGACAAATGGTTAAGGCGACCAAGAGAGAGCAGCACTGCACCTGTCATCACCCCATGTTGTTTCTTTTTCACAACAACCTTCTTCACTGCGTGTTCTGGAAACCGGGCCCCACACTTCACGCACTGCAGACAAAATGAGAGCAATGTTATGTTATTTAAAATGGTGTTGATTGCCGCGCACTCTGCCAGTTACAGTAGGTATTCAGCTGCCTTCATACAACTCAGCTGTTTTAAAGGTGAGGGTACTGCGTTATCAAGCGTATCACACTACAAGCGACGCAATACTCAAAATAAATTCCAAATACAGAAGAACTGTCGTCTGGTGACCCTCAGTTGAAAACGGCTTTTCTCAACACCTCCGGCCGAGTTTCTACCACAGAAGGCGATAACTGTAATATCAAACTGGTTCACGCTTTGTCCTTGTATTTCGCCAACTCCACACTACATCTTGCAATTGCAGAATGAAATCGATTACCAAAATGACATTGTCAGAGAAACCAACACCACTAAATTTCAAAAAATGCTCAGTGCCTTTATTAATCATATTAAGGAGACTTAGAACTGTATCAGGAATTGTAAACCTGCAATTGCTTAGCTTGCGTGTGCATGCTATGCTTTGCCTTTACTGTTTGCTGTTTTTTATGTTAAATTGTATTTATACCCTTCCCTTGCACAAGATCCAGAAATGAGACTTCAAGGTACACAAATAAATAAAATAAATAAGCACATTCAGAGAAATTTCCAAATTTTGAGCAACGCTTCTGTGTAAATGCTAATCCACTTACTTTCAAGACTGGTTATAACGAAGGCGCTTATAACGAAATAGCGGCTACAGCGAAGCGATCAGAATTTCCCATTTTCTTTTGCACTTCGTTATAATCGAAGTTGGTTATAATGAAATACCAGATATAGCGAAGTGATTTCCGATTCCCGTTGACTTCGTTATAACCAGTCTCGACAGTATGAGAAATTACAAGCATAATAAACATATTTTACAAAATCTTGAGGTTTGTCAGAATATATGGTAGTTAGACTACAGCATATTTTAGGGACTTCCAAAAAACGGCATGCTTAATTTAATGACACTAAATGTTATAATAGACCATGTTACCTGAAGGGCTTCTATATAAAGATCTTTCAAGGCTTTTGCTTCTGCAAATGGCTGAAGCATCTTCATAACTTCCTGCAATAAAAATATTGCCAATTTTCGGTACCCTTTCACGAACATAAAGGCACAAAGTAAACATTCATAACAATATCAGTCTACTGACCTCTGCATCCTCACTGCAGTCAAATATGTAGCACCTTTCCTTCTTGTTGCGGATGTCGGTGTCAAATTTTAGCCTCACAACTTTGTCATCACTCTAGAGGGCAGCAAAAAGAAACGACGAGATTCAAAAAAAGGAAGACGAGTGAGCTGCAGAAATTTGTTTCTCAAGGAAACAGAACTATAATTTTGAAGAAGTTTGCTATCACGCTTAGGGACCCTCCAGAGCTTTCTGAGATCATCTGGTTATGTTGTTATATTGCGTAGTAGGTGCAAGTTAATATGTACACAAACTTTTAGATTACAAAACCGTTTTTTAAGCAGATGGCAGTAGAAATATATTGGGACTATTTTCTTTTGGAAGACATTCCCCCATTCTCTGCCCATCGCTAAAACTTGACCAATGGAAATGCTGCATCTCGCGGTGAATGTGAATGTTATTATTGCAACACTTTTTAAGCTTGTTGTAAATTAGAGTTTGAGGAAAACGTAAACTGATTGTGGTGTGGGAAACACAGTTTACAATTATTGTTCCAAAACCAGCGAACTATGTTTTCTCCTCACAAGCTTGTTGCTAGGGGGTGATGCGTCGGGGCGTCAGCTCGTCTGCTTCCCGGGGCGTGTGCAGGCCTGAGTTTGCGGGACACGCGCATCGGGGTCGAATCATTCGAAATGGCTGCCATGTCTGCTGTCCGTTTCAGGATTTCAAGCTCCAGAGATGTCAGGTCTGAAAGGTCCATTGTGCGACGGTGCGGTGCGACAAACGACGACTGCCGAGCACAAAGTCCGGGCTCCTTGACAACAGTCCGCGCGTGTTCGAGAGATTCTCCGCGGGTTGGCGGTCGACTGCGTTGGTGACGCCCACAGTGACGCCGAAATCTTTCGCTTGCTATTGGCTGATGCGTAAAGAGATGCCCCTCCCATTTTCCGAGGTCATCTCAGAAAGGCGGGCGTGCCGGGGACTCTGATAACAATTTTAATAGGGAAATCTGCCGCGCATGACCGTAACTTTATGATTTTTAGGATCCTTAGGGCCCGTAGATTGAGTTACCGCCATAAATAGACCATCGCAGAACGCTCCGGAGGGCCCCTTTAATATCGAAATCAATGTTGAATTTTAAACAAACGCTTTTCATTTCAGTAACACAGCTGGTTACATGCAGAAAGGCATAATTAGCATGACTGAGAGCACGTAACCTAACTACTCTGTACCAGAAAAAACAAAAAAAATGTGTTCTATGTCATTATGGTAACACACAGCAACAGGTTTTTTGTTTTTTTGTTTTTTGTCAGTGGTGCCAGTTGTTTGATTTTAGTCCAGTTAGAACTAAACATCTTTTTAATTTTTCCTATGGCCTGTTTGATTGACAAAATTTTAAGAGCATGCATCTTTGTAAAACACTGCTATAGACAATGAAAAGTGTAAATTTTTGCACCATATTATTTTGAGAAGTTTGGGGAAGGCACTACATACAGTAATCCCTCGTTTTAACGAAATTGTTTTTTTTTTCAAATTATTGTTTTTATCGAAGTTCAACGTGGTCCTGACTGAAATGCAAGCATTTTTAACCGGATTATTCTAAATGTATCGGCGGCCGACCATGCTTATTACGAAGGCCGTAGTGCCAAAAGCATGCAAGCCTACACGGGGGTGCACGGAAACCCTTGCGTTCCCTCCCCCTTCTCCACTGAGGCAAACGGCAAACTGGGAAAACGGCAAACAAGAAAATGGAGTAGTAAATGGGTGGCGGCGGGCAGAGCGCCGCTTCCGATGCCAATGCGCCGACGTGGGTACGCTGGCAGGGAGCAGCGGTGCAGTGTACATGTCCTGATACTACTCACGGCACCCGCAGCCAATGCTGCCCGACTCCTGCTGGAACGGGGTCAAGGAAGCGATCGAGCCCAGAGGAGACCATACCTCCGGGAGCCCCCAATGCGCGTGCCTGCAGCGTACTACACGCACACTTGCATTGTATGGCAAATTTGGAGTGTTTACCAAAAATTGCTTAGATCTGCAAGGTTGAGAAAAGTGGTCGGCCTTGCAAGGTTGAAAAGAGTGGTTGGCCTAAGTCCGATATTGCCACAGAATTTGAAATTCCAGCATCGGCTGTTTGACACTATCCACAATTTTGCAGAACAAGCAAGGTATTGGACGGGTTCAAGAAGTTTTTCATGCAAGAGAGAGCACACCTGCGACCTGAAGACGAAAGATCACCAACCGCTTTGCGACTGTCGGATTTACTCTCGCGAGCATGCTTGCCGAGCCGGCGCACGACTCCCACAGCTGCAACAATCTCTACAGGAGTGTGTGAAAACATGTTAGCAAAGCCACCCAGGATAACTTTGATTCGTTTGCGCCTGTCGATGCTGACATTCATGTTGTTGCGCCTCCCAAGGATGCTACGATCGTAGACCTTGCATGCACCCAGGGTAAACATGAAGCGATGCCGGAGAGGCACCTTGGGGAACGCCAATGACTGCAGAGACGCGAAACATCATAGGGATACTTCGAAACAAAGTGGAGTGCATCAGCGGTAACTGTTCTTGCTATGCCTGGAACAGTTCAAGAGAACAGATGCCCGGATGAAATGATCGGCAAACTCCACTTAATTATTTTCCTACTCAGTAAAGCTGTTGTGAAATGTTCATAACCAAGGTTCGTTTTATTAAATACACGGTCAGGGTGTACCGTAGTGTTCCCGTCCACCTTTTAAGGCTGCTGGCACTGTTTTTTTTGGCCCTATCGCTTTTATTGAATTACCGCATACATCAAATCTTTTTCCCGTCCTGTTGACTTGGTTATAACGGGGGATTACTGTACCTTAGATAAACGTAGTTCTCACAGAAACGTATCTCTAAGAAAAAATGGGTATGACCTGCAAACCAAACTTGCAACTAGGTGCACATAACTATACATACCAAAGCTGCCGAGGAAAGTTTGTTCAAGTCCAAGCACACAAGGATCTTGCCAGTGAGACTATCACTTTCTTTCATCACATCATCTCGAATGCCTACAAACACGGAAGTTTCAGATCCATCCCCAGTCCTTTGGGCAAGAAACAGTTTAGTGCCGAGGTCTAAAAAGACAAACAATAGAACAAAAATGTGTTACAACCTGACGCACAACATTAATGAGTTATAGTCATGTGCGAATAGTAGATTTTTAGTTCGAAGTCGAAGCAAATAGTGGTTTCGGTCAAATATTTTCTAATCGAATATCGAATAGTTTTTTCAAGCCTTTCACTAATGCACCGTGCGTAAATAAAAACCCAGCTGAACTCGTGAAGGTTGTTCCCGAGCTTCCACCAGTCCACTTCGAAACTCAGTAAATGTTAATACATCTATACTGTAAACGACATATTTTTTGAGGGCTCAATATTTCGCGGTTTAGGTCAAAACTGCAGTTTTTAAATAATTCGCGGGCTCTAGTTTTTGCGACGCGGTGGGATCTCAATATAAATTTGAATGTGTTTACATTTTACCGAAACTGTTTGCAGGACCTTTTTTTCACGAATTTTAGGTGATTTGCGAAAATCAAGTCGTTTACAGTATTTATAAACAGTGGCACGTAAATGACAAATTAGTCCCAGCTATCTTAATCGAGAGGATTTGAAAATCTGCATGCCATATTCAAATATTCCTTCCTCAATTTAAGATATGACCAAATAAACAAACAAGTATGAATGATGAATGAAGGTTGTCAAGACATCGCCAACATATGCGGGCAGAAACGGAGGGAGAGGAGGAGACGAAAGCGTGCAAGAGTGCAAGAGCGCCGAGCTTTGGGGTTGGAATGATTAGTGGGTAGACTCAAAGCTAGCTGCCCTTGTCTCCACTGCACTCTCTGAACGCAATAAAATGCGAAACCCAAACGCTGGACGCCGGCGTTCTGCATTCTAACGTGTTCTATGAGTGCGGTGGAGTCTACCCACCAATTGTTACAACCAGACCTCGGCACCCTCACGTCCCCACGAGCTCTCGTCTCCTCCTCCCTCTTAGTTTCTGCCCACATGCACTCGCATAATTGCAACAAGTTAGCTCCATTGGCAGCGCTTCTCACTGAGCATCTGTGCACTGCAGAAAAACAATACCTGAGGAGCACGCGAATTCCACAGGTATTGGTTCCCTGCGGTATGCAAGTGCTCAGACGTGCACTCAACAGGGCTAACCCGCCGCGATCAACACTTTGAAAAGTATGAATATAGCAGTTCATCTTGAAGCAAATATTAAATACTGTAAATTCTAAACTACTATTCGAAAATTTTAATATTCGCACAACCCTAATAAGATTGTATCAAAAGTACTGGGTTCTATGTCTTTGGAAAAGTACATAAATAAAAAAATATGCCATGTTGTTGTTCCTACCTTAGCCATTTAAAAGGAAACTGAAGCGGTACTTTACTTGAGAAAAATACGCTTAAATTGTCTTTATTTGGACGTCCAGGATCACAAACATTAAAATTATATTTCAAATTGATATGCTAAGTAGCCACAACCGCAATTTCAAGATAGAGCTGAAGATTCGTCCGGCACATTTGGTGGGAGGAGGAATTTGTGACCTAATATACAGATATCTCCAAATTTCTGTGCCTTCCGCAAACCTTACCCGAGCAGTCAAAAGCGCTGCATGCGTTCTCTGACAAGCGGCACGTGCAAGGCCGTTGAAACCTCTGGTATGACATCACGCTCAGTGGTTGGTTTTACAGCGAAGCTGTTTATGGCTAGGGTTCCGTGCATTTTTGGTGTGCATCAACAAAAACTCAAAGCAGGCTCGCACTGCCCTCTCTTTGTCGTCGTTCTAAGCGCTTGCGCGCCTAGCTTACTTTCCTTCCACCGGGGGGTGGTCCCATCGCATGCGTCTAGTTTCCTCCAGCTCGGAGAGGGCTCGCAACGCCCTCTCTTTGTTGTCATTCCAAGCGCTTGCCTGCCTAGTTTCCTTTCCTTCTGCCAGGTGGCAGTCCCGTCACGCGTGTCTAGTTTCCTCTGGTTCCTCCGAGTGGCGATAGTCCTTGAGACGTGTGTGCATACCTTTCATTACCATGACCACCGATCAAGAAAATAAGTGTGCTGATACCATTGTTCGAAATTCTGTGTCACGTCTGTGTCGTGTGCTAAACAGCTCCGCTGGTCATCAACCTTCACAGAGTGGAATGACTCATGATTTTCCAACTTTTCTCGCGTCTATTGATGCGTTGGGCTCAAATGCTGGTGATATTCAAATTCGCAGGACAAAGGACTGCTAGAATTTACCTGTAACTGTTTGTTTTTTTTTTTTTTTTTCAGGAACTTCTTTACCTTTTTTTTAATTAAGGGGTGTCACAACCTTCAAGGGTCGACTTTTAAACCAGTCGCTCAATATTTATGAAAATTGGAGGGTCAATTTATCGGGTCCTAAATGCATTCTATGACATTTCATCTCTGTAGGACAATTTTTTGATAAGCTACAGGGGGCGGTACACAGCTATTGATGTAAGTCACCTCATATGGCAAGAAAATCTATCATATAAAATTGCTGCAGAATATTGAACATTTCTAAGCTTCAGCCATAACTAGAACATAGGGGGGGTGTGGCTATCTATTTTTTACATTAAAATCTATGTTTTTTCTATTTAACATGTCAATTTGAAAAGCATTCAACATAATGGGACATTTTCTCCTCATCAAAACTCTACTTTTTGGCAATAAGAACTTTATTTAAATAGAAAAATCAATATCTGGCCGCATTCCTCATTAAATTTCAGTTTAGAAACATCCACAGCGAAAAATACATTCAGCGATTCATTGAAATGATAGATTTCCTAAAAGTAAAGTTGCTGCAAAAAGGTGGAACTGAGAAAAACCTGTTTGGAGTTTCCAAACCACTACATTTGATTGTACTGGTGGTGGTGGAAACTAAAAGTCACCATGAGCATAGGTGGTGCCTTCTACTTACACCCAATCTCCTGTATGGCCTTGCTGAGTGAGTCCGAGCTTAAAACACTTTCTACGAGTGTCATTTTGTTGTCAGCATGTGGACATTGATTGTGTAACAAGTGAGGAATTTGGCATGCTTGCAACACACAAACAAACATCAGCAAGAATGTGTGGGGTAAGCAACATCAAAATACCAAACAGACAAACCCACGTGACTTTCTACAAACAAATGCTGGTTTTAGTCAGTTTTGTGTTCAATCAGGGCGGGCTTCTCGATTTTCGGCCATATGCATAGCCTCTCCTACGTGAAAGCTGGACTTCTATGGTGTTCTTGTCAGAATAGAGTTTACTGTAAAACAAAGATATTTAATTTACTGAAACCGTGAATTCTCTTTTTAATGGGAGTATAATCAACATTCTAGGGCATACCGGTGCAAAGCTACAGCAGTTTGAAAATGGGACACAGAAGTTTCACATTTCAAAAACATGATTTTGCACCATCGGCTTACCAAAAATGTCTTATTTTTGTGAATATTTCAGATATTGCAATAAAAAATTGCAGGAGTGTATACACTATATTAGGTGTGGAACAACAATAAATAAAAATAGAAAAAGTAATTGTTTTCTCAAACATTGCATTTTTGAGGTGGTGTCCCCCTAAATAAAGAAGTAAGACATAAAATCGAAGGAATACTATTTTGCAATACACATACTCTCCCAGATTTTATACTGCACACATTTTTTGAGACCATAAAAAGTAGTGACTGCTCCATTAATGAATGTATGAAGTGTAGCAAATGCTACGGTTAAATGAAATAAAAATAAAGTTACTGAGGAGTTGAAATCTTCGCTGCATCACGAAGTTCACTACCATATACCGAAATTTTCATTTGTTCGAAGTTCCCAAAACCTTTCTAATCATATCATGTAATCCTCATAGCCAAGCCTCCCTCAAAATGCAAAAAAGCACCACTCCCGAGTTCACATTCTAAAGAAATAAAATACTTTGCTGCTACTTAGAGGAGGAGATCGACGCAAAAAGAAAGTCTTCAAATATGATCCCCGCAAACCAAACCTAACATAAAATTGCATCAAACTGAAAAAAGAAAACCAGGAGTGTGGTACCATCTTCAGCATCTGCCTTGTCAGCAGCAAAAGCGCTGGTTGCCATGCTGGTCCAGCTGAACCCTTCGGGCTGTCCTGTGCCTCCGGGGTCCCCAAAATGGTCTGGTGGCACGTCGTCCAGCACCACGACGCCCTCGCTGAGTTCGGAAATGCGGCGCTGTGGAGCCGAACCTTTCGAACTCCCTTGGGCGGCTCCTGTGCCCTGCCGAGATGACGCAACTCCTTCCGAGGGTCTGTTGGCCACCCCTGTGATGGCGTCTCCTTCTTGCTGCCAAGCTGAGAAGCCAGGTCCCACGAACGTCCCGCTCTCTGGAGTCCCGCAGGGAGTGCTCTGAGCGTCGGGCAGCCTCAGCCTCGACACGCCGACCAGCCACTCGTCTCCTAGCTGCTGCTTGCGACTTTCCAGTTCACTCTTGTAGTCTAGGATCTCCTGCTGCACTGTGGCTGTTACAAGAAAAATAAAGGCCTAATTAACGAAGCGCGCTACAGCATAAATCGACGCAATGTGGGTTAACTATCGAAGCATGACCTTGGGAAATGTTTTTGAAAATCGAGAAATTGCCAACCCAGAAAACTACCAGTAGTACCGCATCGAATGATGGGCTTTACCGGGTCATCAATTTTGGAATGGTTGACAGAGGCTTTACCCATAGCCAGGTAGGCTGTAGTTACACTGCGGCTAATGACCCCCATAAAACAAGCGGCAATACTCCCTCTTGCAAGTTAAGCGTATCACTATAAAAAGTGCAATGGTGTACAACTGAAAGAAAAGTTTCTTTGCACGAGCATTTGTGCGCAAAAAGCTCCGCGTTAGGTTGCACGCTCACGCCCATGCCTCCTAGAGCATTGTGCAGAACACTCGAAATGTTGCGTCGTAATTACCAGATGAACGATCCCACTACTATGTGACTACACTGGCTGTATACTTTTCGTTCCCTAATCCTCGAATGGAAATTAACGACAAGTTCCGCCAACAGCTCTGGAGGGCACGACGAGCACCTTATCGGGAGTGCTTGACTTTCTTTGGCCAATTTCTCAGGGCGCTGGCTCTTAGAGATAATTAAACAGCGAGAAGACTACTGTATTTACTCACATCATGAAGGCACCCCCAACAACAAGCATAAATGTTTGGACTTTTTTTTTTCTCGCGTAATAAACGCATTTTTAATTTTCGGCTACGCAAGTCTTGAATTGCGTCAAACCGGATAGCCACCGAGCCTGCCAATTTTCTTTTGCTGCCAAGCGGCCAGGCCAAGTCGAGCCAAGCAAAGCCACTCTCGTAATGGCTGCAACTGCATAGTTGCGAAAGTGATCAACCGTGAAACCGAGCGGCGCGCAAGCCTAGCGAGGCTGAGGTTGAGGAATTTACCAGCCCCGGACGTGCTTCGTCCATCAGATGCATTGATGTCAACAAACCCGCTGTCGTCTGTGATCCACTTTTGGACAGTGATATTGTGAAAGTGGTTAGGCCCAAGAACCATTGAGTCGCTCTCCGTGCTGAGTGAGCTTTGTAAGGCGCTTTTATTTTGGCAAAAGAAATGCCAAAAGCACCCTAAAAAAGGTTTGCAATTTACAGAGCATGGTTACTGTGGCACACAGAAGACCAGCCATGGGTGCGCCTCCGTCAGTGAAGACGTGCCACAGTACCCTACCACGTCATATTAGCTACTAAGATGACATTTTAGTGAAGTGTGTAAATGCAAAAATTTTACCCCGCATAATGAATGCCCCTCCTAGATACCTATATGTTAATTTTTCGGAAAAAAAGTGTGTTCATTATGCCAGTAAATACGGTACGTCCCTTTTCAGCAGAACACCGATTGCTGGACGACAAACAACACGAGTTCCGGTGAGGCTCATTAACTACAACGCAGCTTGCAGAAGTGGTTTACAATTTCTAAGAAGTTTTGAATCAAAAGGGACAGGTGGACATCATTTTTCTTGATTTTAAAAAGGCGTTCGATAAAGTCGACCATAGGAAGATGCTAATGAAACTATACAACTAATGCTGAAAGGGACACTGACACCCCTTAAAACTTTTTTCCATTTTTTGCCAGGCGATTTATTATGGTTGTCGGAATACTACCCAATTAATATTTTGCTACAGAGTCACATATTTTTTTAATAAAGCCAAAAAATGCAACTGCTCGAAACTGAAACCGAAACCCACGCACCGCACGGAGATGTGGAGAGGAGAGAGTGAGTGGCGGAAGTCACATGTCTTCAGCCACGAGAAAGGACGACGGCTCAGCGACATCTTCGTGCAATCGGCTTGTTGGTCGGGCGTGTTGTACGGAATGAATATCAATTCTTTTGATCGGTCCAAAATTTCTTTTCCGAAGAAAGACAGAATTCGTCGGTACCGTGAACAACAGTTCTGAAGTAGAGGTCCCACGCCCGTCGTCCACTGCCACCCGCGAGTCCCACGAAACGCGAAATGACGCCATGTTGAGAAATATGCAGTGAACGCACAGAATACTTCTGCTTGACCGTGCAACCTTTTTTTTTTTTTTTTTTTTCAATCAATGTATTTGCAGCCACAAAAAATGGGTTTCATATTTTTTTTCTATTTTTAGTATTGACTGCGTGTTTTCAATGACCCACGAGTTTGATTAGATTTGGTGGTCGCGTCAAAACCTTAGAAAACGGCTCGTGACCATAAAAAAGAGAGTGAGTGCGACTCACACCGGCCAGTTCTCGATCGGCGGTTTTCGGGCGGAAAGAAACCAAATTCGAGCCGCAAATTCTGTTCTGGGTAGTTGGGCTCTTATATGTCACGTACAACTAAAAACCTCGGCAAACATAAAAGCCCTGTCAGTGTCCCTTTAAGAACCCTACGCTCACAAAATGGATTGAATCGTTTTTAAATGGGAGAACGCAATTCGTAGACATAAAAGGTAGAAGGTCGAATATGTGCGAAGTTAGATCGGGGATCTCTCAGGGGTCCGTGCCTGGACCCTTGTTCTTCTTGATGTTTATTATACTCCGCGACAACTTTTCTTGGCAATGCAGTGGAAGGTACAGGCCCGCGTCCCCTCTCCCATTTTGAGTGTACGCAGGCTCTCCTCCTCCATTTCCAGGGAGAGGAGGAGAGCCCGTGCACACTTTTTACTTACAAGTGGTAAGTAAAAAGAAGCGGAGATGAAAAAAAAAATGTCTGACGAGGCCCAAATAATATTAAAAAAGATTAGTCTAGAAAAACAACTACAGCTTTCTCTGTGGGAAAGCGGGCCACAAGGCAGAAAATTGCTGCAGCAAAACGCAGGGGTTTAAACCACCGGCATGTTGAAACTGTGGCCGCACGGGTCACAAAGTCTATCAGTGCAGGGCAAGACAGAATAAAAGACACCAGGCCTCGTGCCTGTGGACGGCACCATCAGATGCTCGGGAAGAGCTGGATGAGTCATTTTTCATGTTGCATAATGGAGACAAGATCCTTGAGGTGAATGCTGCAGCTGGGAGACCTCCGAAATTCCTCGCAGAAAACATGCTCGTGGTTGAGGGATGTTTCGGAAACCATCGCATTACAGTGCTAAGGGACACTAGGTGCAACATGCTAGTGGTTAGGAAAGAGCCAGTTGCCACAAAAAAGTTGACCGGCAAGTCAAGTGCCGTCTTTCTGATGGACCATACAGTACGATACCTACCAGAGGCGCTAATTTTTGTCCAAATGCCCTTTTATCTTAGAATGGTTTTGGCGAAGTGCGTGACATGCATTTTTAGCGCGAGCGCTCGTTCTGCGGAAGAATGCTTCGAGGCAGCGACCTCAAGCTCTCGTGCTTGTGGCATTGGCTACAGTCTCAGGTTAAAAGGGCACTAAAAGGGATTCTGTGATCACCTGTTCTTGGTCATAATTAAATCTATGGGCACTAAACATTCTGAAAATATGAGTATTGCAATCATGCGACTCCGATTTCCCTATTAAAAACGTGATAAAAGGTCTCTTTCTGAGCAGAGTTTTCCGCTCAGTAAAGACGGGGCACACCTTATCATGTATTTAAAAGGAAAATCGGGGTCGCGGGATTGTAATTTCTTTCTTATTAGGATGCTTAGGGACCGTAGAATCAGTTATGACTAGAAATGCCGCAAACTTTTTTTTGGTGTGTCCAGAACTTTCATCATGTTTTTAAAAGGAAAATCGGGGTCGTGGAATTGTAATTTCTTTCTTATTGGGATGCTTAGGGCCCGTAGAATCAGTTATGACTAGAAATGCCGCAAACTTTTTTCAGTGTGTCCAGATCTTTCATCATGTTTTTAAAAGAAAAATCGGGGTCGTGGAATTGTAATTTCTTTCTTATTGGGATGCTTAGGGCCCGTAGAATCAGTTATGACTAGAAATGCCGCAAACTTTTTTCAGTGTGTCCAGATCTTTCATCATGTTTTTAAAAGAAAAATCGGGGTTGCGGAATTGTAATTTCTTTCTTATTGGGATGCTTAGGGCCCGTAGAATCAGTTATGACTAGAAATGCCGCAAACTTTTTTCGGTGTGTCCAGACCTTTCATCATGTTTTTAAAAGGAAAATCGGGGTCGCGGAATTGTAATTTCTTTCTTATTGGGATGCTTAGGGCTCGTAGAATCAGTTATGACTAGAAATGCCGCAAACTTTTTTCGGTGTGTCCAGACCTTTCATCATGGTTTTAAAAGGAAAATCGGGGTCGCGGAATAGTAATTTCTTTTTTATTGGGATGCTTAGGGACCGTAGAATCAGTTATGACTAGAAATGCCGCAAACTTTTTTTCGGTGTGTCCAGACCTTTCATCATGTTTTTAAAAGGAAAATCGGGGTCGCGGAATTGTAATTTCTTTCTTATTGGGACGCTTAGGGCCCGTAGAATCAGTTATGACTAGAGATGCCGCAAACTTTTTTCGGTGTGTCCAGACCTTTCATCATGTTTTTAAAAGGAAAATTGGGGTCGCGGAATTGTAATTTCTTTCTTATAGGGATGCTTAGGGCCCGTAGAATCAGTTATGACTAGAAATGCTGCAAACTTTTTTCGGTGTGTCCAGACCTTTCATCATGTTTTTAAAAGGAAAATCGGGGTCGCGGAATTGTAATTTCTTTCTTATTGGGATGCTTAGGGCACGTAGAATCAGTTATGACTAGAAATGCCGCAAACTTTTTTCGTTGTGTCCGGACCTTTTATCATGTTTTTAAAAGGAAAATCGGGGTCGCGGAATGGTAATTTCTTTCTTATTGGGATGCTTAGGGACCGTAGAATCAGTTATGACTAGAAATGCCGCAAACTTTTTTCGGTGTGTCCACACCTTTCATCATGTTTTTAAAAGGAAAATCGGGGTCGCGGAATTGTAATTTCTTTCTTATTGGGATGCTTAGGGCCCGTAGAATCAGTTATGACTAGAAATGCTGCAAACTTTTTTTGGTGTGTCCAGATCTTTCATCATGTTTTTAAAAGGAAAATCGGGGTTGCGGAATTGTAATTTCT